TATCATTATCGACAGGTAAGTCTCATAGGATCCAGAGAGGAGCACCCTGGATCTTTTGATGTGGTTCACAGGAAAGATGCTAATGGCAACAGCTTTGCCACTTGACTTTTCAGCATTTTTGTTATTGACAAGGGAAGCAAACCATGGATTTCTCTTCCCTTAGGAAAGGGTATTTGCCTCACCAATGCTGAAGACAGAGACTAAAGACTGGTTGCCAAACAGAGCAGTGGGTGAAATGGTCCCTGGGTGACATGTTAAATCTTTGTACGTAATTAAAAATAATGTGTCCAGGCGCGGTAGCTCACGCCTGTAATCCCAATACTTTGGGAGGCTGAGGTGGGCAGATCACCTGAGGTCGAGGGTTCGAGACCAGCCTGACCTACTTGGAGAAACGCCGTCTCCATTAAAATTACAAAATTAGCTGGGCATGGTGATGCATGCCTGCAATCTCAGCTACTTTGGGAGGCTGAGACAGGAGAACTGCTTGAACCCGGGCAGAGGCAGAGATTGTGGTGAACCCAGATCATGCCATTCCACTCCAACCTGGGCAACAAGAGTGGAACTCTGTCTCCAAAACAAAAAAGTAGTGCATAATTAATAGCAACAACAAAAACAAAAGACAGACCTAGTCTGTCACAGCACTGGAAGGTTATCAGTTGTTCCAGCTTTACCTTAGGGGCATTTGGACCTACCCCACTGCCCTGGGAGTCTTCTCCCTCTCATACCCAGAGCTGGCCCCAGTGGAGTGTGGCCCTGATATTGCATGGAGAATGACTGTGTAGTTTGTGTCCAGGAGTCTGGGGACAGCTCTTGCCACAGCCTGGGAAACCCCTTTGCCAAATGACATATGTATGAAGGATAACCATTCACACCTGGATGCACCCAGGTCCCCAAAAGGAATTTCAGATGCCACGTAGGTTAATGGTTCTGTGAGTACTTGTGAAAAGACCTTGTTACTGGTGTGGTCAAGAAGGCTTTCTGAGGGGCTGGGTACAGGGGCTCATGCCTGTAATCCCAGTGCTTGGAGAGGCCCGAGCAGCAGAAGAGTTTGAGGCCAGAAGTTCAACATTAGCCTGGACAATATGGAAAGATCCTGTCTCTAAAAATTTTTTTTCTTTTTTTTTTTTGAGATGGAGTCTTGCTCTGTCGCCCAGGCTGGAGTGCAGTGGTGCAATCTCTGCTCACTGCAACCTCCACCTCCCAGGTTCATGCGATTCTGCCTCAGCCTCCCTTGTAGTTGGGACTACAGATGTGCACCACCATGCCTGGCTTATTTTTATATTATTAGCAGAGACAGGGTTTTGCCATGCTGGCCAGGCCGATCTCAAACTCCTGACCTTGGGCCTGCCTCGGCCTCCCAAAATGCTGGGATTACAGGCGTGAGCCACCAGCCCAGCAGAAAAGTTTTTTAATTAGCTGGGCATGGTGGCTCACACTTGCAGTCCCAGCTACTCAGGAGGCTGTGGTGGGAGGATCTCTCAAGCCCAGGAGTTTGAGGCTGCAATAAGCTATGATTGCAGCACTGCAGACGTGCCTGAGCCACATATGGAGACTCTGTCTACAAAACACAAACTTAGCTGGGCATGGTGGCTCCCATCTGCAGTCCCAACTACTCTGGAGGCTGAAGAAGGATCTATCGCTTGAGCCTAGGAGTTGGAGGCTGCAGTGAGCCATGATCACATTAGTGGGCCACAGAGCAAGACCCTGACTCAAAAAATAAAAAGATTCTTTTTTAAAAAAACTTAAATTCAGGCCGGGCGCGGTGGCTCACGCCTGTAATCCCAGCACTTGGGAGGCTGAGGTGGGTGGATCACGAGGTCAAGAGATCGAGACCATCCTGGTCAACATGGTGAAACCCCGTCTCTACTAAAAATACAAAAAATTAGCTGGCCATGGTGGCACGTGCCTGTAATCCCAGCTGCTCAGGAGGCTGAGGCAGGAGAATTGCCTGAACCCAGGAGGCGGAGGTTGCGGTGAGCCAAGATTGCTCCATTGCACTCCAGCCTGGGTAACAAGTGCAAAATTCCGTCTCAAAAAAGAAGAAAAGAAAAAACCTAAATGCAAATTAAAAATTTCCCATAAGTAAGGAAACAAACAAAAAGATCCTTAATTTACCCATGTCAAGATCACATCTGCAATGTGTGTTTTGAGGACATCATTCATAGGTTTCAGGGATTAGGATGTGGACATCTTTGTCCAGATCATTATTCTGTCTACCACAGGGAGCAACGGACAGAGGGAAAAAGGGTTGAGAAGGTGTTTTGGGACACTTGTCTGGACTGTATGTCAGGGAAGCAAATGGCTCAGGAGGTTTCTGACTCTAATTCAGGGTTCTGAGAACCCAACAAGTCAAGCTTAGGGGGCTGAGGAGGGGACAGTTTCATCCTGAAACCCAGGGCCCTGTGGCATCCCAAGCCTTAGACCAAGAGGCTTTTACTTCCCCGTGTCTTGAAGAGCTGTCAAGACCACAGCCTCCTGAGGCTGTGATTAAAGGTACATGGTGCCAGCAGCACTTAGAATTCCCCACCTAGGGTAGCTTACACTTCAGTGTCTCTACCCTCACTGGACAACGACTGGTAAAAGGGGATCCTGAAGAACGTTCCAGGCAGGGCCAATCTCATGTGTGTCACCACTGTTGCAGTCTTACAGGGCCCCACGCTCAGGAAGGGGCTCTGTGCTTAGGGTTTAATACTCCGAGGTGGTCATTTTGAAATTCTTTCTCTCCCACTCTGTCTGTCACCCACGCTGGAGTGCAGTGGCACAATCGTGGCTCACTGTAACTTCCCAGGCTCAAGTGATTCTTCTATCTCAGCCCCCTGGAGTAGCTGGGACTACAGGTGTGTGCCACCACACCCGGCTAATTTTTTAACTTTTTATAGAGGTAAGGTTTCTGCATATTGCCCAGGCTGCTCTGGAACTCCTGTGCTCAAGCAATCTGCCTTCCTTGGCTTCCCAAAGTACTGGGATTACAGGCGTGAGCCACTGCGCCGGCCTTGAAATTCTTAATAATTTTTTTTTTTCTCCAAGACAGAGTCTTGCTCTGTCGCCTAGACTAGAGTGCAATGGTACAATCTCGGCTCACTGCAACCTCTGCCTCCCGAGTTCAAGCATGAATTTATGTTTTGCAAGTGTGTCCCCATGCCCAAGGGAGTGCAACATTAAATAGCAAATAAAAGAATACCAAAACAGGTTGAGAAATTGTAGCAAACAAAAACAAAACAAAAGCTTTTTTTTTTTTTTGACGGAGTCTCACTCTCACTTTTTTTTTTTTGACGGAGTGCACTGGCACGATCTCAGCTCACTGCAACCTCTGCCTCCCAGGTTTGAGCGATTCTCTGCCTCAGCCTCCTGAGTAGCTGGGACTACAGGTACACATTACCATGCCCAGTTAAAGTTTTTCACTATTTGTAGAGACAGGGTCTCACTATGTTGTCCCAGCTGGTCTTGAACTCCCGGCTTTGAATGACTTTTCCACCTCAGCCTCCCAAAGCACTGTGATTATAGGCATGAGCCACCAAGCTCAGCTTGTTTCTGTTTTTGAACAAGGGTACTGCATTTTCATTTTGCAGCAGGACTTGCAAATTATGCAGTCATTACTCATCATAGGATAAGATATGGGTTGGGTGTGGTGGCTCACACCTGTAATCCCAGCACTTTGGGAGGTCAAGGCGGGCAGATCACCTGAGCTCAGGAGTTTGAGACCACCCTGGGCAACATGGTGAAACCCCCATCTCTATTAAAATACAAAAAAATTTAGCTGGGCTTGGTGACTTGTGCCTGTAGTCCCAGCTACTCAGGAGGCTGAGGCAGGAGAATCTTTTGAGCCTGGGAGGCAGCTGTTGCAGTGAGCTGAGATTGTACCATTGCACTCGAACTTGAGTTACAGAGTGAGATTCCATCTTTAAAAAAACCCAAAAAACAAAACAAACCCACCTGTTTTATGGTGGTCTTTGGAGAACGGGTCTTCAGTATTTTCTTAGGCAGTTTCCTTAGGTGATAGAAACAGCCCAGTTTTCCCCATGGAGAGAGCATTCCTGTGAGCATCCTCTCTGATCCCTCTGTCCAATCCTTCCCTAGGTCTCCAGGAAGGGATGATGGGATGGGATTGGGATGAGGATGAGGAAGAAGCATGAAGGTGCTTATTGATAACAGATGTCACCAGGTGGTTTATTGACATCAGGTGGTTTATTGACATTGAAACTCCATGCTCCTTCCACCACAGACCACCTGTTGGCCATAAGGCTGTGTGGTGCCAGCGATCTCTCCCACTAAGAGAGCTGGCCAGGTCCCAGAGCCTAGCAAACCTCCCTGAGTGGTCTCTGGGTATACAGGGCCCCAGAAAGGGGAGGGGGCTGTGATTTACTGAAAGGATGCAGCTGTCTGATTAACTGACAGTATGACCGTGACATTAGGGTCAGCTACACTGCAGGGCTGGGGTGTATGGATATCTGTTCTGGGGTCTGGGCCCCATGGAGAGATGTGTAGGGGGAATGAGAAGTCGATCAGCAATAAGACGTGGACTCAGCCACCTCCCTGACCCTGAATCATTCAAGCGAGGAGCAGAGGAGTTCCCAATAAGGGGACGGGGCATGTGAGGGTCCCCAGGGCCTCAGAAGTTGTTATCAATGTTCCAAACGTCCCCACTGAGCGCATTGGCCGCTCCCTGAAGCGTCCAGGTGAGCAGGGCTAGCTGGCGCCGGAAGCGGCTCTCCTGGAAGCCGGCGGAGGACGTGGCCCCGGGGGTCCGGGAGCTGTTGGAGCGCAGCAGCCTCAGGTGGTCCAGCAGGGCGCCCAGCGTGTGGTCTCCGCGGCCCAAGAAGATGTGGCGGAACGGGGAGTCGGCCGGCGACACGTACTGGGAAAGGAAGTAGAACTCCACCTGCTCAGAGAGGGGGATCAGGTCAGGGTGCGGGGGTTCTGGCTCGAGAGCAAATGCCTGGATCATCCTTGGCGCCCACCGGCCTTTTTCTTTCTTTTCCTTTATTTATTTATTATTTATTATTATTTTTGAGACGGGGTCTCGCTCTGTCACCCTGGCTGGAGTGTAGTGGCACAATCTCGGCTCACTGCAACCTCCGCCTCCCGGGTTCTAGCGATTGTCCTGCCTCAGCCTCCCAAGTAGCTGGGACTACAGGCGCGTGCCACCATACCCGGCTAATTTTTGCATTTTTAGTAGAGACGGTGTTTCACCATGTTGGCCTGAATGGTCTTGGCCTCGTGATACGCTCGCCTACAGGCGATTTTCTGATTCGGCTTGAGACCTACTACCTGCTCGGTAAATACGAGTTGGAAGCTTCCTTAAGTCCCACCTCCCTTTGGTTGCCCAATCAGGATTAGACATCCTGTGACGTCAGGAGTAGCTGGGTAGGATACGTTCACCAGCTGTGCTTCTCTTGTTTTTCTTTTTGTGTTTGCTTTATTTGCATAATTACTATGCCGGTAACAAAACTGCACCAGCTATACTTCTTCTTCTTTTTTTTTTTGAGACAGAGTCTCGCTCTGTCGCCCAGGCTGGAGAGCAGTGGTGTGATCATGGTTCACTGCAACCTCCACCTTCCGGGTGCAAGCGATTCCCTGCCTCAGCCTCCGGAGTAGCTGTGATTACAGACGTGCATCACCACGCTCAGCTAATTTTTGTATTTTTAGTAGAGACGGGATTTCACCATGTTGCCCAGGCTGGTCTCAAACTCCCAACCTCAGGTGATCCACCTGCCTCAGCCTCCCAAAGTGCTGGGAATCCAGGCATGAGCCACCGCGCCCGGCCTCCCCTTCTTTCTCTCTCTAGAATCCGCAAGCCTGAATCTAGGTCTCCCCAGTCTTCCTTCCTCACCCATTCAGAGAATGCCCAAAGCTTCAAAGAACAATCTACTGCCCTGCTATTCCTCTTCTTAACAGCACACCTCCCTACACCGAGTCATTCTCCTCCACCTCTGCCAATGTCCACAGCCCAGAGACAAAGGTCAGGGGACAGCCCCGTCCTCACTAAGAGCCTGGTTCTCTTCCTTTTGACGCAGCTGCTGTTCCTTATTCCTGAGACAGCTTTACTCCTGACCTAGTTTCCTCCCTCCTTTCTGCCAGCCTCTCTGATTTCTTCTGCATCAACCTGTGGGCAGGTCTCTAAGTTCCACCTCCCTCTTCTCATTACCTATTAAATTATCATTGCCTGGGCACCACCCCAGTAAAATCGAAATCTCTAGGGGTAGTCTCAGATGCTCACTTCTTTTTAGAGACAAGTTCTCACTGTCACCCAGGCTGGAGTGCAGTGGTGCAATTGCAGCTCACTGCAGCCCAACCCCCTGAGGTCAAGTGATCCTCCTGCCTCAGCCTCCTGAGTAGCTGGGAGTGCAGGCACATGCCACCATGTCCAGCTAATTTTCAGATGCTCACATCTTTTTAAGGCCTCCATCATTCACTCACAGGGCTCCTGATGTCAACAGGACCTCTTAAGGGACAGATTCCAAATCTCCTTACCCAATGACCCACTGGAATCCTGACCTCCAGCCATCTGGACCTCCCTACTGGGTTTGGGAACACCTGGACATGTCAGTACCAATCTATTCCCAAGCCTGGGCTTTGGGCCCACACTCATGAGGCCCATGACCTTCTGCAGGTGCAAGCTCTCATCCTCAAAGGGCAGTGAGCATGGGGTGAGTATAGGTTTTGAGGGTAGACTACCTGGCCTCTAATTTCAGCCCTTCCACTTATTAACTATATGATTTCAGGTAAGTTACTTAGCCTCTCCTAGCCCCAGTTTCTGCAGATAATATAGCAACCTCACAGCGCTGGGGGGAGTCCTATCAGAGCAAATGAAGTAAGTTCCCTAGTACGTGGTAGCCTTCTATAAAGGACAACTGTGGCCAGGCACGGTGGCTCATGCCTGTAATCCCAGCATTTTGGGAGGCTGAGGTGGGCGGATCACCTGAGGTTAGGAGTTCAAGACCAGCCTGGGCAACATGGTGAAAACCTGTCTCTACTAAAAATACAAAATATTTAGTCAAGATGTGGTGGTGTGCCCCTGTAGTCCCAGCTACTCAGGAGGCTAAGGCACAAGAATCGCTTGAACTTGAGAGGCGGAGGTTGCAGTGAGTCAGGATGGTGCCACTGCACTCCAGCCTGGGCGACAGAGCGAGATTCCATCTCCAAAAAAAAGGCAACTGCCATTTTATTATTCTTCTATGTCAACTATCATTATTATTCTCCTCCTCTTCCCTCAAACACACACACACACACACACACACACACACACACACACACACACAGCAACTGCTATTTTATTCTTATTCTTTTCTATGACAACTATCATCATTATTCGCCTCAGCTTCCCTCAACACCAAATCTGTCCATTTCTCTTCCAAATGCCTAACATTGGTCCAGTCCCCACCTACGAGCCTCTGCTGCTACCTGCCACTCTCAAGACGTTTGCAATCTGACCAAAATCACTCCAAAAAACTCCACTTTGTTATCGGGCATGGTAGCTCATTGCGTGTAATCCCAGCACTTTGGGAGGCCAAAGGTAGGAGGGTCACTTGAGCTCAGGAGTTCGAGACCAGCTTGGGAAACATAGGGAGACCCTTGTCTCTATGAAAATAAAAATACAAAATTAGTTGGGTGTGGTGGTGTGCACCTATGGTCCCAGCTACTCAGGAGGCCAAGGTGGGAGGATCACTTGAGCCCAGGAGTTCAATACCATTCTGGGCAACACAGTGAAACCCCATTTCAAAAACACAAACTCCCAGCCGGGCACAGTGACTCATGCCTGTAATCCCAGCACTTTGGGAAGCTGAGGTGAGCAGATCAGTTGAGGTCAGGAGTTTGAGACCAGCCTGGCCAACATGATGAAACCTCTTCTCTACCAAAAAAATAAAATAAAAAAAGAAATTGGCCAGGCATGGTTGTGGGTGCCTATAGTCTCAGCTACTCAGGAGGCTGAAATGGGAGAATCACTTGAACCCGACAGGCAGAGGTTGCAGTGAGCCTGGATCACACCACTGTACTCCAGTCTGGGTGACAGTGAGACCCTGTCTCCAAAAAATAAATAAATAAAAATAAAAACTCCCCTTTGCTTACATCAGCTCTCTGCTCAAAAACCTCCCTAATTTCCTTGATGCCAAGACTTTTTTTTTTTTTTTTTTAAAGATGGGTTTTCACCATATATGTCAGGCTGGTCTCAAACTCCTGAACTCAGGTGATCCGCCTGCCTCAGCCTCCCAAAGAGCTGGGATTACAGGCATGAGCCACCGTCCCTGGATGCCAAGATTCTTAACATCCAAACTTCTAATCCTGGTGTTCAAGGCTCCCCATGGCTGATTAACAACCCCCTTTGGTGCTCCCCTCCCCTCTGCCTCTCCATGGGGCCCCTCTTCTGGCTCTGCTGGGCCACACCCTGCTTCCAAGTAAAACTAGACTGATTTCACTACCACACCCAAATTCTGGGTCTCTCCACCCTGAAACGTCCTCTTTACTTTGCATTAACCCACGTCCTGCCTGTTCTTCAAGATCCAAGTCACAATCGAAACCCAAGGTCAGCCAACTTTTTCTGTGAAATGCCAGATAGTAAATATTTTAGGCTTTGCCGGCCATGCTGCTTTTATGGCAGCTACTTAACGCTGCTATTACACAAAAGCAGCCATAGAGAGCATGAAAACCAATGAGCATGGCTGTGTTCCAATAAAACTTAATTTACAAAAACAGGCAGCAGCCAGGTGCGGTGGCTCAAGCCTACAGTCCCAGCACTTTGGGAGGCCGAGGCGGGCAGATCACGAAGTCAGGAGTTCGAGACCAGCCTGGCCAGCAAGGTGAAACCGTGTCTTTACTAAAAATACAAAAAATTAGCTGGGCATGGTGGTGCACACCTGTAGTCCCAGCTACTCGGGAGGCTGAGGCCAGAGAATTGCTTGAACCCAGAAGGCAGAGGTTGCGGTGAGCCGAGCCACTGTACTCCAGTCTGGGCGACATAGCAAGACTCCGTCTCAACAAAACAAAACAAAACAAAACAAAACAGCAGGCAGCAGAGCCTCATGCCTGTAATTCCAGCACTATGGGAAGCTGAGGTGAGAAAGTCGCTCGAGCCCAGGATTTCAAGACCAGCCTGGACAATATAGTGAGATCCCATCTCTACAAAAAATTTAAAAATCAGCCAAGTGTGGTGGTGTGTCCTCGTAGTCCCAGCTACTCGGGAGTTTGAGATGAGGTGAGAGGATTGCTTGAGCCTGGGAAGTGGAGGTTGCAGTGAGCCCAGATCGTGCTACTGCACTCCAGCCTGGGCAACAGAGTGAGACCCTGTCAAAAAAAGAAAAAAAAGAAAGAAAGAAAAGAAAAACAAAAGCAAACAAGCAATGGTTTCAATTTGGCCCGTGGGCGCGAGTTCACCTCTGGTCTAGAGCCACAAAATTCACCGGGTCTGGCCCAACCCTATATTGCAGGCTCTGAAGTCCCGAGTCTTTCCCTCTCCATCCCTGAGCCTGAGTCATGCATCTTACACACAGGTCCCTTTTATCCCTGGTGGGGACAGGGGTTTGGCAACTTTGAAAGTGTCTTTTTATATTCTGGACCCTGACTGACATAGCTGAGATTAAACCAAGATCCGTGAATGAGAATGAACCGTGCCTCACCCCAGTCACCCGTGTCCCAGCAGAGAAGACAAAGGGAAAAGGAGAATGAGCGGGAAAAGAGCAAAGAGAAGGAGAGGAGAAGGCAGGGCGCAGTGGCTCACGCCTGTAATCCCAGCAATTTGGGAGGCCAAGGTGAGAGGATCACTTGAGCCCAGGAGTTTGAGACCAGCTTAGACAACATGGAAAACACTGTCTCTACAAAAATTAGCCCGGCGAGGTGGCACATGCCTGTACTCCCAGCTACTAGGGAGGTTGAGGTGGGAGGCTGGCTTGAGCCCAGGAGGTGGAAATTGCAGTGAGCCGAGATGCAGCCACTGCACTCTAGTCTAGGTGAGAGAGAAAGAGCAAAAGCAACAGGTTTGGAAATGGAAAGAAGGAATGAGTAATACCAAGGAGGACAGGCAGAGGGCGCAAGCAGGAAAATGCGAGGAGGAGGAAGAACAGGAGCCTCTAAGGGATAACCATGCTCACTCTGAAAACCATGAGTGTGTGTGCACACGTGGCTCTATGTACACTGCAGTTCCCAGCTCACCCCACACTCACTGAGGACGATCTCGTTTCCTATTTTGCCCTGCAGACCTTTCCCCATGGCCACAGTCCCTACTCACCCGTTTCCTGAGGTCAAAGGGTTGAGGGGTAGAGTTCTTGGAGTGAGGAAATGGAAGGAAGAGGAGTTGGAACTGGAGGTGGGGTGCGGGCTGCAGCTGCAAAGATTTCAAAGCTAAGCAGAAAGGATTGGTGAGGGAATAAGCTCTTGTTTTTCACGTGACACTCCCTCCAGGCAGGCTTCTTAGATTTCACCCATTTCATTACCAGAAGGAAGACACTTCTTTATACTCTGAAAATCTTTAACCTTTTGCACTTCCCAGGCTGTAACCCTGTACGGTGGAATAGTGTGGACATGCTTTTTCTTTCCAGAAGGGTTGGGGAGGCAGTGGGAGCTATAGGAGGGGAGCCAGCAGGGAGGGGCGGAGGAGGGTGGGTTGTCCCAGTTCTGCCAGGCGTAAGCCAGGCGACTGTGGCCAAGGGGCTGGCCTTCCCTGCCCATTTCATCACTTGATCGCTCGGGTCTTCCAGCCTGACCAATCTATGAGCATCGTGCGTCCAGGACTGGGACGAGAGCACCCAGAGGACCGGGACTGTGTAGGCGAGGAGAGAGAGGAGCGCGCAGGTGGGGCCAGGGCCGAGGGGCAGATCCCCGGGGGCGAGGCGGGGCACCAGGGGCGGGGCCTCACCCGCATGATGCGCACGTTGTACATGCGTGTCAGTCGCTCGTCTCTCTCCTCTGAGCTGTAGATCTCCTGCCGCAGCTTCTCTGCTGCCCGGATGTAGTCCCCCCGCGCCGAGTACACCCACTGCAGGGTCAGCCCGCGGGCCTGGGGGCGGAGGCGCGGGCTGGGGTGGGCGGCAGGGGCCAGGACCCTCGCCTAGTATGGGGAGAAGGGCCCCGCCTAGAAGACCCCGCACCTGCCAGGTTGGGAGATGGCACATGCCGGGGGCTTGGGAGGGTACCAACTGGGTCTTGGGGGCTCAGGAGACTGGAGGCAGGAGGTGAAAGGGCTGGATTGCCAGAGAGGACCTAGACCCCAGGGATTGCGGGGAGAAGGGGCCGGACCCCCTGGCCTGGGCAGCGCCCCCCACTCCCGGAGGCCAAGAGCCGGGTGGGCCTCTTGAACCTTGAGTTCCCCAGAGAACTCGTTGAGGTTCCCGATGTGCCTGAGGACGACGTCCCCGTAGCGGCCGAAGTCAAGGGGCAGCAGGCGATCGTGGCTGAGTCGGATGAGCAGCTGTCCTGCGAGCTGGGCCACAGCCTGGGCCACGGCGGGCAGGCGGCCTCGCAGCACCTTGTGCAGTTTCTCGTAAGTGTCCTCCTTTGTGTGCAGGAACGGGTAGGCCTGGTCCTCCTGACGGGACAGGGTGGGCGCTGGGGCAAGGACAGGCAGGCTGAGGGACTAGCGCTGTGTCTGGGGCAGGAGGAGGACGTCTCACCTCCATGAAGGAGAACTCAACAGCAGGAACCCCCGCAAAGGCAGTGAAGGAATAGGCACTGCTGTCCATGGGTAGGGGCCGAATCCTGGGGGCAGACGGATTGGAGGGATCTGTGGGTTCAGGCTCACCCATATCCCTCCCCAACTCTCCTTATCCCCGAAACTTACACCTCAGCATCCCAGATGGGATTGGTGAACACCACCTGTTCATAGAGCGTCTGCCCACTGTGGTTGGGTGAATCCACCTGGGGGCAGGGTGGGGGGCACTGATCAGGCTCTGCTCCTTCCCCTACTTACTCCCTTGCACCCCCTATTCCTGGGGTGCTCTTGCCTGCTTCAGAACACTCTCGATGAGGCTAGTCAGAAGGGGGCTGGTCTTGGCATAAAACTTGTCATCCCCTGGAAAAAGGGGAAGGGAGGGATGGCAGGTTCAGGGCTTAGCCACAGAGGCAAGGGTGGACCCCAGGGGGCCAGGTGGTGGCACTGCCCCAGCTCACCCAGCACTGCATTATCCAGGCTCACGTAGACTACAGCTTTGAGGTGCAGCACGCTGAGGTAGCCCTGCGGGTGGGTGACCAGGGTGGAATGAGAACCCCCTGCCCTCACCTCTCCCCACTGCCTAACAACCTGCCCAGAACCCCACATCACCTCTAGCCACTCTGTGGAGCCCACACTCCCAAAGTCACTGCCATCCCAGCTGATGAAGAGGAGACTTCTGCGGGGCCGGAAGCCTGGGGACAGAGGGGAAGGAGGACAGGCTCAGGAGGGGCCAAGCAAAGACCCTCCCCTTGTCTTGCCAGGGTCTCTGCTTCTCTCTCTCTCTCTCCCTCTCTGAGACAGGGTCTCGCTCTCTCACCCAGGCTGGAGTGCAGTGGTGCAATCATAATTCAATGCAGCCTTGACCTCTCAGGCTCAAGCAATCCTCCTGCCTCAGCCACCCACGTAGTTGGGATTATAAGCATGCACAGCTAAGTCCAGCCAAATTTTTTATTTTTTGTAGAGATGCAGTCTCCCTATGTTGCCCAGGCTGGTCTCAAACTTTTGGCCTCCAGCGATTCTCCTGCCTTGGCATCCTTAAGTGCTGGGGTTACAGGTTTGAGCCACCACATCTAACCCACCTGCTTAATCTTGACACAGACCCATGGACTACAATTATCATACCACGTTCTTTTCTTTTCTTTTGAGATAGAGTCTCATTTTGTTGCCCAGGCTGGAGTGCAGTGGTGCGATCTTGGCTCACTGCAACCTCCGCCTCCTGGTTTCAAGCAGTTCTCCTGCCTCAGCCTCCCTAGAAGCTGGGATTACAGGTACCCTCCACCATGCCCAGCTAATTTTTATATTTTTAGTAGAGACAGGGTTTCACCATGTTGGCCAGGCTGGTCTCCAACTCCTGACCTCAGGTGGTCCACCCGCCTTGGCCTCCCAAAGTGCTGGGATTACAGGTGTGAGCCACCACGCCCGACATCACTTTTATTTTTGGTGAGGAAATAGAGGTGAAATGATTGGCCAGGGCCACTCAGGTGTGATGTGGATGCCGAGGCCCAAGTGACCACTGGTCAGTCTGTTCCTCACTGTCTCTCTGCCCTATCCTCCTCGGGCCACAGGGCCACCACTGTCTAGCCCAGGCCCATGCCTTGAGCTTACCGTTGTTCACCATGGAGGCAAAGGTCCGGACCAGCTCCAGGAGTATGGCTGTCCCCACAGCAGACTTAGCTGCTCCTGGGCCCCATGCATCCCTCTGGGCTCCGATGACAACGTAGTGATCTGGGGAGGGGATGTTTGGGACCCACTTCTGACACTGGCAGTCCCCAAAGTCTCCCCCCTGCACCCTGGGGAAGCCTCCATCAGCCTCTATCTCCCAGCCCTTCACATTGGGGCAACCCCACCCCTGCAGTCCTCCTGTCCCTACAGAGAGCTCCCCTCCCCACTTGGCTCTCCCTGGATGACGCGCTCCTTCAGCTAGGTGCCTGGGGTCATTCTGGACTTACAGGGTTTCTGTCACTCAGGCTGGAGTGTGCAGTGGTGCCTTCATAGCTCACTGCAGCCTCAAACTCCCCGGCTCAAGCCATCGTCTTGCCTCAGCCTCCCAAGTAGCTGGGACCACAGATGTGTGGCACAATACTCGGCTAATTTCTTTTATTTTTAAATTTTTTGTAAAGACAAAGTCTTGCTATGTTGCCCCATCTGTCAATTACCTATTTTAATTTCCCACTGCCATGCATGTCTAGCTATGCTTGAAAAAGGGCCATTTACCCATCTATCTAATCTGATCTCTCTCTCATGCTTGAGTTTCTTTCTCTCTCTCTTTTCTTTTCTTTTTTTTTTTCTGAGACTAAGTCTTGCTCTGTTGCCCAGGCTGGAGTGCAATGGCACGATCTTGGCTCACTGCAACCTTCACCTCCCGGGTTGAAGCGAGTTTCCTGTCTAAATCTCCCGAGTAGCTGGGATTACAGGCATGTGCCACTACGCCCAACTAATTTTTGTATTTTTAGTAGAGATGTGGTTTCTCATGTTGGCCAAGCTGTTTTCAAACTCCTGATCTCAAATGATCTATCTGCCTCGGCCTCCCAAAGTGCTAGGATTACAGGCATGAGCCACCACTCCAGGCCCATGCTTGAGTTTCTATTACAACACCATCCAACTTAGGCTTGCTCACCTCCAGTGCTGGGGAGCTCACTACTGGGTAACAACTCCCCTTCCATCACTGGACAGGCTGGAAGATGAGGTCTCTTCACTGCTGCCACCATCAGACCCAGTTCAGCCTCAACTTGCCAGCCTCCCTCCTCTGGGCACCACTCCTATCCTCTCTCTGGGGCCTCCTGCATGAGCCTCCTATCTTTTCAGGGTGTATGGGCAGAAATTCCTCCCCATCCACCACAAGCTGTGAGTGATACTAGACACACAGCCCACCTGGCTCTGAGCGGCCTTCAATGCAGCCAAAGATGTTGTTGATAGGGGTGGAGGTCCTGTGGTTGTTGACTTCTAGCCGCATGCCTGGCCCAGGGCCCAGGTGATAAGGGGAGCCTAGGAGGTGCCCCTGCCATTCCTGGGGGGCCACAGGGCCTTTGAGCTTCCTGGAGAGAAGGAAGATAGAAAGGGTTAAAAGTTGCAGAGAGACCCAGAAGAGCCCAAATCACTCTCTTCCTTCTTTCTTTCCCTCCCACCATTTCTGGCTCCAGATTGCTGCCTCTGCACCCCCTGCCTAGGTGGGGCAGTGCAGTCAGGGCTGCCTTGGACGGTTGTGCTGGTTGTATACTGCTCAAAGGTTCTCAGTTGAGGTAGGTATGTAATCTGGTCACCAGACAGTGGACCCTGGAGAGAGCCTGTGTCCACCCAGAAGAGTCACTTTTTTTTGAGATGGATTCTCTCTCTGTTGCCCAAGCTGGAGTGCAGTGGCTATATCCGCCACCTGGGTTCAAGCAATTCTCCTGCCTCAGCCTCCCAAGTTGCTGGGACTATAAGCACCCGCCACCATGCCCAGCTAATTTTTGTATTTTTAGTAGAAACAGGGTTTCACTGTATTAGCCAGGATGGTCTTGATCTTCTGACCTTGTGATCCACCCGTCTCGGCCTCCCAAAGTGCTGGGATTACAGGCGTGAGCCACTGTGCTGGCCCCCCCCTTTTTTTTTTAAATACAGAGTCTTGTTCTGTTGCCAGGTGCCAGGCTGGAATGCAGTGGCGCCATCCCAGCTCACTGCAACCTCCTCCTCCCAGGTTCAAGCAATTCTCCTGCCTCAGCCTCCCCAGTGGCTGGGACTACAGGCACATGCCACCACACCCAGCTAATTTTTGTTTTTTAGTAGAGACGGAGTTTCACCATGTTGGCCAGGAAGGTCTTGATCTCTTGACCTCATGATCTGCCTGCCTCGGCCTCCCAGAGTGTTGGGATTACAGGCGTGAGCCATGGTGCCCGATACCCGCTTTTTTTTAAGACAGGGTCTTAAAAAAGCCACCAGGCAGGTGGCTTCCACCTGTAATCCCAGCACTTTGGGAGGCCGAGGTGAGTGGATCATGAAGTCAGAAATTCAAGACCAGTCTGACCAACATGGTGAAACCCCATCTCTACTAAAAATACAAAAATTAGGCTGGGCGAAGTGACTCACCCCAGTAATCCCAGCACTTTGGAAGGCCAAGGCGGGCAGATCACAAAGTCAGGAGATCGAGACCATCCTGGCCAACATGGTCAAACCCTGTCTCTACTAAAATATAAAAAATTTGCCAGGTGTGGTGTCTTGTGCCTGTAGTCCCAGCTACTTGGGAGGCTGAGGCAGGGGAACTGCTTCAACTGGGAGGTGGAAGTTGCAGTGAGCCGAGATTGCACCGCTGCACTCCATCCCGGTGACAGAGCAAGACTCCATCTCAAAACAAAAGAAAACAAAAATTAGCTGAGTGTGGTGGCGGGCACCTGTGGTCCTAGCTATTTGGGAGGCTGAGGCAGGAGAATCACTTGAACCTGGGAGGTGGAGGTTGCAGTAAGTTGAGATGGAACCACTGCACTCCAGCCTGGGTGAGAGTGAGACTCTGTTTCAAGGAAAACAAAACAAAAAAACGAGTCAGGGTCTCTCTCTGTCTCCCAGGCTGAAGTGCAGTGGTGTGATCATGGCTCACTGAAGACCTAAACAAGAGTCACCTTTGTCTAGTTCACCCACAGGCACCCTGTGGCCTAGCTGCAGCCTCGCTTTCTCTGCCTCCTCCTCTCCTGGTTCCCAACACTCCCCTCACCTCAGCAGGCGGGAGGCAATGTCTGCGCTGATGGGCTGGGCTGGGATGCTGGGAAGGCCTGATGATGCCACTGGAGGGAACTGGGTTTGATTGAAGGAAGGGAAGCCAGGCGTGTAGGGGTCTCCGGTTCCCAGGTGCACCTTCGGGGAAAGTGGTGCCCACATGAAGCTGCAAGCCGGGCTTCCAGGAAACACGTGCCAGCCCCAACTGAGCAAGACGATGTGGCCCTGGGACCTGGGAATGGCATGGCCAGCCTCCCCGGACTCACGTGTCCATACACAGCCTGCTGGCTGGACAGGCTCGGCTTGTGTGGGTCCTGGGAGAAGTCCGCTGGCTCCGGGTATATGAGCACTCCTCGAGCCCCGAAGTCCTGAGCATTGGTCACCTGCGGAGGAAAGTGACTAGAGGACTCCTCCCAGAAAAAAACCCGGATTCATAAGGGCAGGAGAAACCGGGAAAAGTGAAATGGCAAGTCCTTTGCTTGCAACTATCCATCCCATGGAGAGGGTGTGGGGCACCACCTGGCCTGTTTCTTCCCAACCTCAGCAGCTCCTGGGCAGCCCTCAAACCCCACCGGGCCCCCTGGTACCCCATGTTTCTGTTCTCTTCCCCATCTGATTTCCCCAACCCCCAATTTGTTCCCAGCCAACATCTTCCTATCTTCCTTCCTTCCTTATTCTCTCCCTCCCTTCCTCCCTACTTGTCTCCCTTCTCTCTTTCTCTCCTTTTTTTTTTTCTTTTTGAGACAGATCTCTCTGTTGCCCAGGTTGGAGTGCAGTGCAGCCTGGAACTCCTGGGCTTAAGTGATCTTCCCACCTGAGCCTCTGGAGTAGCTGGGACCACAGGTGCATGCCATCAGCCCAACTAACTTAAATTATTATTATTATTATTATTTTAGTAGAGAGGTGATCTCACTATGTTACTCTTTAACTCCTGGCCTCAGGTGATCCTCCTGTCTTGGCCTCCAAGTGGTGGGACTGCAGGTGAGAGCCATTGTGCCTCACTTACATTTTCTTACCATCCACAGGGTTCTTTCCTGTCTTCCTTTTGCAGCCCCCTGCACGATTCCCACTGGCAGTTTGACCCTCCGGTTCCCCAGCCCACGCCCTCCCTCTATCCAGGGGCACTTACCTTCTGGGCAAAGCTGATCACTCCCACGCGCACCAGCAGCAGGCTGCCTGCCGGGTCCACGCCCCTGGCCCGCAGCTCCTGCAGGTCTTCAGGCCGCCCGTAGTGGGCGTACACCAGGTCTCCCTGGAGACACGAGGACGGTGAGGTGCACTCCCCGCGTCCGTCCTCCGAGACACAGGAAAGGGCTCGTGCCTCGCCTCATCCTAGGAGCGGGCAGGGGGCGCTCACCGTGACGTTGCCGATGGCACTGTAGGGGCAGTAGACTTCGGGGTCCTCCAGCGGCAGCTGCTCTGCAACCTTCCCGGCCTCATCGACCCAGTGCAGGGTGTTGGGGTGAGCACTGGGGAGTGGGGCTGGTGAGCACCCCAAGCCGCGCCCCACCCCCGCCAGGCCCCCGCCTCCCTGCCCGCGCGCACACTCACGGGTCTGGGAACTGCAGCCCCACGTAGTGCGTGTCGGTCCACACGTGGTCCAGCTTCTGGCGGGAGAACGCCACGCGGATGTCCTGAGTCAGAGCGGCCATCCCGGCCGAGCCTGCCACCCGTTCCCGAAGGCTGGTTTGCCTGAGCGGGAAGAGGCGGAGATTTTTCTGGGTGCTCCTCCCAAAAAAGGGTACCAAACACCTGGGGTCGCCCGCGGGAGGGGCAGCTTGCTCCCCGCGGCCTTTTTTTTTTTTTGAGACAGAGTCCTGCTTTGTCACCCAGGCTGGGGTGCAGTGGCTCGATCTCAGCTCACTGCAACCTCTGCCTCCCAGGTTCAAACGATTCTCCTGCCTCGGCCTCCCGCATAGCTGGGATTACAGGCACATGCCACCACGCCCGGGTAATTTTTGTATTTTTAGTAGAGACAGGGTTTCTCCATGTTGGTCAGGCTGGTGTCAAACTCCTGACCCCAGGTGATCCACCCATCTCGGCCTCCCAAAGTGCTAGGATTATGGGCCTGAGCCACCCTGCTCTGCCCTCTGTGGACTCTTTTTCTCCCATCACCACCAGGGCGGCGCCAGAGGGTCTCAGGACCTCCCTCTGCTTAAAACCTGAGTTTGCATTGCTGGGGGTCCTGCCCATCATCCTGTAGGTTCTTCCCGGCTCAAGCCAAACTCCCTCCCTCTAACCCCATTCCCCTGACGTCAACGCACACACACATCAGGCACCCAAACACTTTTCTTCCAAAGAGCTAACTGGGCAGGCAGCAGACCCTCCTCATCTTCCACATCTTCCAGGTGGGCCTCCTGGAGACACTTTACACCAAGGTACCCAGGGGAATCGCTGGTTCCTGGGCTCAAGCCATCCTCGCGCCTCAGCCTCTTGAGCAGCTGGGGCTATAGGTGTATGCCACCAACCGGTGATGTTTTAAAATGCTTTTTTTGTAGAGAGGAAGCCTCCATATATTGCCCAAGCAGGTCTTGAACTCCTGGCCTGAAGCGATTCTCCTGCCTTGGCTTCTCAAAGTGCTGGCACTACAGGCATGAACCACAGTGACCTGCCCTATATGTGTATTTAAAGGCACACATCAAAAGCGCGAGATGAGGGGCCTATAGGGAGGGGAGTGGGGAGGATCACTCAGAGATGACAGGAAAATTCAATGGGAAAGGAAGGTACTTTCACTGACCCATGAGTACACGGTACTGTGGTCTCAGGAGTGTGATCAACTCCATTCTTTACACCCAACCTTAAAAAAAATCCCCCCAATCTAATCATGATACTCTATTGTTCAAAATACTCCAGCCTCTTTTTTTCCTCTCAGAATGAAATTCAAGTGGCCAGGCACAGTGTGGGGCTCACACCTGTAATCCCAGCATTTTGGGAGGCTGAGGCTGGCAGATCACGAGGTCAAGAGATCGAGACCATTCTGGCCAACATGAGGAAACCCCGTCTCTACTAAAAATACAAAAATTAGCAGAGTGTGGTGGCACATGCCTGTATTCCTAGCTACTGAAGAGGCTGAGGCAGGGGAATCGCTTGAACCTGGGAGGCGGAGGTTGCAGTGAGCCAAGATCACACCACTGCACTGCAGCCTGGCGACAGAGCGAGAGTCCGTCTCAAAAAAAAAAAAAAAAGAGAGAATGAAATTCAAAATAGTTAAAGTAGCCAGTAAGGCCTTTTGGGCCTGAGCTACATCCATCTCACAGGCCATATGGACCATCTTTCCCTTCCTCCAAGAGGCTACCATCTTCACATTTCAGACCCTTCGCAAGTGTCTCAGTCTCTGCCTGGTGGACTACTCATCCTGTCAGTCTTGACTTGTCAGTTCCTCAAGGAAGCCTTCCCTGAACTGCGATCTAAATCAGGCCCTCTGGTTATAGTCTTTCCTTGCACCCTTTTTTTCTTTTCTTTTCCCTCCCCTCCCCTCCCTCTCTCCTTCCTTTCCTTCCTCTGTCTTTCTTTCTCTCTCTTTTTTTTGATGGAGTCTTGCTCTGTCGCCCAGGCTGGAGTGCAGTGGTGCAGTCTCAGCTCACTGCAACCTCTGCCTCCTGGGTTCAAGTGATTCTCCTGCCTCAGCCTCCCAAGTAACTGGGACAACAGGTGCCTGCCACCATTCTCAGCTAGTTTTCTATTTTTTTTTTTTTTTAGTAGAGACAGGGTTTCACTAAGCTGGCCAGGCTGGTCAGCAACTCTGGGCCTCAGGCGATCTGCCCACTTCAGCCTCCCAAAATCCTGGGATTACAGGTGTGAGCCACGGTGCCTGGACCCTTTTTTCTTTTCTTTTTTTAGAGATAGGGACTTGCTCTGTCACCCAGCCTAGAGTGCAGTGGCATGACCATAGCTCACCGCATGCAACCTTCAACTCCTGAGCTCAAGTCATCCTTCTGCCTCAGCCTCCTGAATAGCCAGGACTCTAGGCAACACACCACCACACCAGGCTAGTTTTTTATTTTTTAAAATTATTATTATTATTTTTGACATGGAGTTTCAATCTTGTTACCCAGGCTGGAGTGCAATGGCACAATCTCATCTCACTGCAACCTCCGCCTTCCAGGTTCAAGCGATTCTCCTACCTCAGCTTGCTGAGTAGCTGGGATTATAGGTGCCTGCCACCATACCCAGCTAATTTTTTTTGTATTTTTAGTAGAGACGGGGTTTCACCATGTTTACCAGGCTGGTCTCAAACTCCTGTCTGCAGGTGATCCACGCACCTTGGCCTCCCAAAGTGCTGGGATTACAGGCACGAGCCACTGTGCCTAGCCAAATTGTTACTGTTTTTTAAAAAGACAGGATCTCTCTATGTTGCCCAGGCTGGTCTCACACTTGGCTCAAGCAGTCCTCCTGCCTCTGCCTCCCAAAGTGCTGGGCTTACAGGTGTGAGCCACCACACTGAGCCTTACATCCTTGGCTTTTCTTTCTTTTTTAAATTAATTAATTAATTAATTAATTTTTAAGATGGGGTTTCACCATGTTGGTCAAGCTGGTCTTCAACTCCCGACCTCAGGTAATCTGCCCGCCTTGGCTTCCAAAGCTCTTGGATTACAGGCGTGAGCCACCGCGCCTGGCCTGCTTTTCTTTCAAAGCCATGATTTCAGTTGTAATTACGTAGTCAGGAATGATTGTTAGTTTCGTATCTGTTTTCTCCAGTGGATTGTAAGCACCATGAGGACAAAGTTAACGTGTTAGTCTCCCACCACCTGCTTAGCTTGGTACCTGCCAAATAGTAGGTGCCCCAAAACGTTTGTTGGATTAATGAATTAATTACCTCATCATTGTCACTTCCAGTCCCACCACTCCACTTCCCTGGTCACACCTGTATTTTTTTTTTTTTTTTTGAGACAGAGTCTCTGTTGCCCAGGCTGGAGTGCATCAGCACAATCTCACTGCAACCTCCGACTCCCAGGTTCAAACAATTCTCCTGCCTCAGCCTCCCAAGTAGCTGGGATTACAGGCGCTCACCACCACGCCCAGTTAATTTTTGTATTTTTAGTAGAGATGGGGTTTCACCATGTTGGCCAGGCTGGTCTCGAACTTTTGATCTCAGGTGATCCACCCGCCTCGGCCTCCCAAAGCGCTGGGATTACCAGCTCCCAAAGTGTGCCCAGCCCACGTACTGCATGCTGTGATTACCCACACTCCATCTCTGGAGTACTTATCCATGGAGGATCTACTGAACACCTAGTAAGTGCCAGGCACTGTGGTAGGTGCTGGAGACTCTGAGATAGATAAGACATATGTATCAGGAAGTTTTTGAGATTCCAGAATCCCACTCTCTAGTAGACCTTGTCAGATTCCAACTCCCCCAGTTACCCTTGCTGTACCTGCTCTTCAACCGCATTGAACATGACAAATGTCCTATAACTCCATGTCTGTCATCTCTCCCCGCTTTCTCTTCCCTCTCCATCCCACCTAGAACCATGTATTCATTCCATGCTCTCGCCCCAAAACTGCTACCTGTCTTGCCTCAGTGCCACACCCGGCCTCTAGACCTGTCAAACTACCTGTACCCAGATGACCAAGTACTACTCAAAACAAATTTAAAAAGCCCTGAGCAGGCCGGGCATAGTGGCTCATGCCTGTAATCCCAACACTTTGGGAGGCCAAGGCGAGTGGATCACGAAGTCAGGAATTTGAGACCAGCCTGACCAACATAGGGAAACCCTATCTCTACTAAAAATACAAAAAAATTAGCTGGGTGTGGTGGCAGGTGCCTGTAACCCCAGCTACTCAGGAGGCTGAGGCATAAGAATCACTTGAACCTGGGAGGCAGAGGTTGCAGTGAGCTAAGATCACACCAGTGTACTCCAGCCTGGCAACAGAGTGAGAATTGGTTGCAAAAAATAATAATAAAAAAAAAATAAAAAATAAAAAATCATGTCTCTAAAAAAAATAATTTTGAAAAAAGAAAAATTAGCTGGGAGTGGTGGCACCTGCCTGTAGTCCCAGCTACTTGGCAGGCTGAGATGGGGGAATCACCTGAGCCTGGGAAATCGAGGCTGCAGTGAGCCCAGATTGCCTTACTACATTCTAGCCTGAGTGACAGAGCAAGGCACCGTCTCAAAAAATATTAATGTAATTTAGTTTAAAAGCCCTGAACAGGCTGGCTGGGTGTGGTGTCTCATGCCTGTAATCCCAGCATTTTGGGAGGCTGAGGTGGGAGGATTGTTTGAGGCCAGGAGTTTGAGACCATCCTGGACAACATAGGGACACCTCATTTCTACTAAAACATAAAAAAATTAGGCTGAACTCGGTGGCTCACACTGTAATCCCTGCACTTTGGGAAGCCAAAGTGGGTGGATCACCTGAGGTCAGGAGTTTGAGACCAGCCTGACCAACACGGAGAAACCCTGTCTCTACTAAAAATAGAAAATTAGCTGGGCGTGGTGGCAGGTGCCTGTAATTCCAGCTACTTGTGAGGCTGAGGCAGGGGAATTGCTTGAACCTGGAAAGTGGAGGCTGCGGTGAGCCGAGATTGCATCACTGCACTCCACTCCAGCCTGGCAACAAGAGTGAAACTCCGTCTCAAATAATAATAATAATCATAATAATTAGTCGGGCACAGTGGCACACATCAGTAGTCCCAGCTACTTAAAAGGCTAAGGCGGGAGGATCACTTGAGTCCAGGAGTTGGAGGCTGCAGTGAGGTATCATCTTGCCACTGTCTGAGTGACAGAGTGAAGCCCTATCTCAAAAATTAAAAGGGGCGCTGGCCAGGAGAGGTGGCTCACATCTGTGATCCCAGAGCTTTGGGAGGCTGAGGCTGGTAGATCACAAGGTCAGGAGTTTGAGACCAGCCTGGCCAAAATAGTGAAACCCTGTCTCTACTAAAAATACACAAATTAGCTGGGCGTGATTAGTATGCCTGTAATATCAGCTACTCGGGAAGCTGAGGCAGAAGAATCACTTAAACCCGGGAGGCGGAGGTTGCAGTGAGCTGAGACTGTGCCACTGCACTCCAGCTGGGTGACAGAGTGAGACTTCATCTAAATAATAATAATAAAGCACTAAACCTTGTTGATTCCACAGATTTAAGGTCTTTCAGCAGGTGAACCAGCAACATATCAAAAGAGTAATCACACAGCTTGATCCAGGTTGGTGTTGAGCTCATGAAGATAAGGAAATCTATTAACACAAATTACTATATAAACATTAAAGAAGAGGCCAGGCTCAGCGGCTCAGGCCTGTAATCCCAGCACTTTGGGAAGCAGAAGTGGGAAGATCGCTTGAGCTCACGAGTTGGAGACCAACCTGGGCAACATGGCAAAACCCTCTCTACTAAAAATACAAAAATTAGCCAAGCATGACGGCACACGCCTGTAATCCCAGCTACTCCGGTGGCTGAGGCATGAGAATTGCTTGAACCCGGGAGGCGGAGCCTGTAGTGAGCCAAGATTGCACCACTGCACTCCAGCCTGGGCGACAGAGCGAGACTCTATCTCGATAAATAAATAAATAAAATTTTAAAAGTCTCAGTAAGCTAGGAATAAAGGAAACTTCCTTAATTCAATTTGAAGAAGCTGTTTGAAGCACAGCAAAATTCATTTAATCGCAAAGTATTATAAAAGAATTGCTATTAAAGTCAGGACATAGGCAAGGATGCTTACTGCTACTGTTACCTTAAGTTCATGCACTCTCAGATGCAATTAAGAAATGAAAGAAAAAAAAAACTTAGAAGGTATAAGCTTGGGAAAAGAGACTCTCCATCTCCTACTATCTGTAGCTTAGCTGATTACCTATTTGGAAAAGCCAGGTGAATCCACTGAAAAACTCCTCCTGTCCCAAAAAAGGGCTCTGGGTGGACCTCGCTCCTGGACCAGTCTGAGCACCTTCTCCAGCAGGATGACAGACACAAGCTGTGTGTGTCTAGCCAGCATCCTCATGATGCAGATGTGTGTGTGTGTGGTGGGGGGGTTCTGCACCCACAAAGCATTTGCTCGCTTGTTTTTCTTTTCTTTTCTTTTTGAGGCAGGGTCTTGCTCTGTCTCCCAGGCTGGAGTGCAGTGGCGTGATCTCGGCTCACAGACACCTCTGCCTCCCAAAGTAACTGGGTGATCCTCCCCTGTGAATCTACCAAGTAACTGGGACCACAGGTGCTCGCCATCATGGCCAGCTAATTTTTTTTTTTTTTTTTTTTTTTTGAGACGGAGTCTCGCTCTGCCGCCAGGCTGGAGTGCAGTGGCGCGATCTCGGTTCACTGCAACCTCTGCCTCCCGGGTTCAAGCAATTCTCCTGCCTCAGCCTCCCGAGTAGCTGGGACTACAGGTGTGCGTCACCACGCCCAGGTAATTTTTATAGTGTTTAGTAGAGACAGGGTTTCGCCATGCTGGCCAGGATGGTCTTGATCTCTTGACCTTGTGATCTGCCTGCCTTAGTCTCCCAAAGTGCTGGGATTACAGGTGTGAGCCACCACACCTGGCCTTGTATTTTCTTTAGTAGAGACAGGGTTTTGCTGTGTTGCCCAGGCTTGCTTGCTTGTTTTTCTGATTCCCTAGAATGTGCCTTCTCAGAACCCCTCAGCGCGCTCCCTGCTGCTGCCCCAGGTCCAAATCTAGGCACCTGGGTGTGGCATTCAAGGCTTTTCTGGGTCTACTGTTGGATGCTGGACCCCTCTAATCTCAGTTCCCTCACGTCCCAAATATGCCACCCTCAGAGCCTCAGTCTCCTGGAACCTCAGCTCTGAATGCTTGCCACCCTTCCCAGGACAGATGAACAGGGGGTTCAGGAAGGCAGATGGGAGGACTCAGGAGGGGGACCGAACACCAGCAGCCTGGGCGAGGATGCAGGGAGGCCTAGTCTGAGCAGATTAGGGGAGGAACACTTGAGGCCAGGATCGGGGCAGGGCCATCCCTACCTGATGGTGTCTTCCAGGCGCCCCTCCCCCAGGAACCGCAGGAACATGGCCTGGAGGTCGTTCCAGTACAGTGTGCCTCCGTGGGAATCCAGTCCGGTCTCATAGTTGACATCCTCACTGACCACCAATACGGAGTCCCCACACGTCTGGCAGGACCCTCGGAAGGTGACATAGCCCAGAAGGAAGGCTGGTGGGTGGCAAGATGGGGATTCTCTTTGTGCCCACCTCTGGACCCCAGAAATCTCCCCCAGCCCAGGCCCTTCACTTTGAGGGAGGGGGAAGACTCTCACCCCCAGTGAAGATCAGTAGGGCCATCAGGACCAGGTAGGGGGCAGCCCTTCGTCCTGCTGCCGCCCAGGGAATGAGGTTTGGCTGCCCAGGTCTAGAGCCCAGGGACTCAGGGCCCTTCAACTCCATGGGGCAGAAGTGGGCCAGTGTCTCCGCCCCCTCCTCCCTGTCTTCCTCTTCCTCCTCCAGGCACCCCTTCCGGGGGCCTTCCACACGCTGGTAGACCGTCTGAGAGGATCTTGGGGACAGTTGTTGCTGCGCAGGCAGGGTGGGCATGAGATTAGGGCAAGAGGCCTGGGGGGTGGGGAGGCATCTGGCAATAATGAGGTCAGTGACTTGGGGTGTCAAGTGAGCATGGGGGTGGGGATGTGGGGGAGGGACTGGGGGGGCGGGTTGGAGGGGACAAGCAGGGGTGGGAAGAGGTGAGGTCAGGACATAGGCCAGGAGGGGCCAGCCTCAGGGGCTTGGGAGGGTCTGAGGGACTTAGAGAGAAGGCCCAAGGGGTCCTCCCAATCCCACTGGTCTTACCGCTCTCTGGAGTAGACCCCAAAGCCGCTCCATGCTTGCGCCCCCTCCTGAAGCCTGCAGGCTGTCCCCAGCGATAAACCGTTTGTGGGAGCCCCAGGAGGGCCCCTTATCATCCCAGACAGGCAGCCTGAGCCCAGGCTGGTCCTCACCACCCCCAAGGGTCGGGGCACAGTCCTGGCCTCAGTCCAGCCTTCCAGACGTGGCCCCCCCACAGCCCAGGCCAGAGCACAAGGAGGTGCTCTCCCCTGCAGTCCCTTTGCAGCCCCACACCTGCCTCCTCCCTGCAAAACAATCAGTTTTTTGACCTTGGGGCGGACTTTGGCCTCCTAGTTCCCATCAGGAGTGGGGGAAGGGGACCGATAATGGGAGGGGAGAGACACGGGTGCCCCCTCCCCCTCCTACTTCTACCCCTCCCTGCATCCTGGGGACCCCTTCCTAAGGCCCCCACACCCAGGTGGAAGATTCACCCCTCCCCATCTGTCTTTCAGAGTCCCCAGGTGCCCAGGTCCTATGACATATCAGCTTTCCTCCCTGCCCTGACACTTGCCCCAGCATTCTAAGCCGGAGGTGCCACAGTGGTGTGACGTGGGGGTTTGGTCTGGCGATGTGCATGTGTGTCTCTTTCGAAAGGTGGTTCTCAGACTGCCGCTGGCTACTGGAGAGGTAGGGGCACGGGTGGAAGCACAGATGAGGCCAGCGAGTGCTCCCTGATAGGGGTCCTGGGATCAGGGATCTGTGTGGGTAAGGAATCTATGGGTTAGTGGGGAGGAGTGATCAGAGTCCCTGCCAAGGTGTGGGCAGAGCTAGGTGACCTTGGAAAAAGTCATGGTCCTCCCTGGGCACCGGCACCTGTCTGGTCACCAAAGGAATTGGATTATGTGAGTTTCTACTTCTTTGGGGTCTGAGGCCCTCTGAGAGTCTGATGAAAAGCCAGTTAGCCTCACCCCAGAAACACATCACAGGCATAAACTGCTGAACTGGCAGGGGGCACAGGTTCCAAGCCCTTCCCAGGGGCCCAGGACAAGTAGCTCTGAAAAAGAGGGTTCAGGGTCCCACCAAGTTCCCCTTTGGGGGGTCTCCCCTGGGAAACCTCAGCTCCTACTCAGGTCCAGAGAAGTTCTGAGTTACTGGGATGCACCAGTGTCCTAGTCCCTGCCCCATGCCTGTCACCAAGAGCCCCAGGAAGAAAGGCATAGCGCAGCTCACCTGAGCGCAGGTTCTGGGGTGCTCAGTCGCGCTGCTCCCCTGAGACCTGAGGCCCACGCTGAGGCCCCGCCCACCAAGCCCCACCTCCTGCCCCCGCTCACCCAGGCTCCGCCCAACTTCTGCCCCACTCACCCCAGGCCCCGCCCCCCACTGCACTCTGCGGCTCCTGCGGACTCCCACCACAACTCTGTTTCCCCCTAGCAACTCCCCATCGCCCCCAGTCTTCGTCCTTCGTCGCGTGGTCCTCCCTGGATCACAACCCCTCGGAAATCTGAGGAATCGATGGCCCCTGGGGCTGTGTCCCGGCGCCCACTGTGGGATCGGCGCAAGTGTAGAAGTGACCCTCCCTTCCCTCACCTCCCTCCAGACCCCTGCGCCCACTCCCCACCCCACGGAGGCCAAACTCTTTTTTTCTTAAAACCTTTTTACTTCTTTCAACCCAGAAACATCACCATTTACGAGAACAAGAGGGAAAGAGGAGGGGAGTGATGTGGCAATGGGGGTTAAGGGACTGAGCTTGGGAGCAGGTGTGTGGGGAGGGTTGCCATCAGGGGCACTTTCGCTCCACGCATTGCTTCCCGCCCTCCTCATATTCCTGCTTGGAGATCCACATTTGCTGGAAAGTGCCCTGGGTGGAGGAGGCAACATGAGGATCAGGGTGGCCTTGGAGGGAGGTGTGGATGGGCAGGTGCAGCCCCTGGGAACCCTCCAACAGGCTCCAACGGTCCCTAGGGTCCACATCCCTCTGAAACCCCTCCCCACCTCAGAGGGAGAGTATCCTCTTCATACCATTCAATCAATCATTCATTCATTCAAGTATTTATTGAACAGCAGTCTCTGCCCTGTTCCTGAGCTGGGGGGTGGCACATACAGCCCCAGGCCAGCCAACCTGCACCCAGCACCCAACACCCACTACGCATACACAGTCCTCCCCTCAGGTGTCCTCTCCCCACTCCAACAGGGCTACCAAACACCGCAAGTCTCCCTTCTTCCGAAGGAGGATGTTCCCTCCACCTCACCATTCCAACACTGTGGCACCCCATCTGCAGCCTTCACCATTACAGCATGCCTGTGAGTATTCCTGCAATGAGCAAGTCAACGTCCCTTCTCTCTCTCTCTCTCTCTTTTTTTTTTTTTTTTTTTTTTTTTGAGATGGAAACTCACTGTCACCCAGACTGGAGGGCTGGAGTGCAGTGGTGCGATCTTGGCTCACTGCAACCTTCATTTCCCAGATTCAGGCAATTCTCCTGCCTCAGCCTCCCAAGTAGCTGGGACTACAGGTGCCTGTAACCACGCCTGGCTAAGTTTTATTTTTTATTTTTAGTAGAGACAGGATTTCACTATGTTGGCCAGGCTGGTTTTGAACTCTTGACCTCGTGATCCACCTGCCTCGGCCTCCCAAAGTGCTGGGATTACAGGCATGAGCCACAGCTCCCAGCCCTCTCTATTTTTTTAATCTTTATTTTTTGTAGAGATGGGGGTCTCACTATGTTGCCCAGGCTGGTATCAAACTCCTGGGCTCAAGTGATCATTCCACCTTGGCCTCCCACAATGTTGGGATTACAGGCGTGAGCCACCACTCCTGGGCTACTTTAATATTTCTCACCCTGTGCAAATGTGCTGTCCAATGTAGTGGCCACTGGCCTTCTGTGGCTCACAACTCCTGGTCCAAATTGAGATGTGCTCTAAGTGGAAAATAGACACCGATTTTTTTTTTTTTTGAGACAGGATCTCCCTCTGTCACCCCGGTTGGAATGCGGTGGCACAGCTCGCTGTAGCCTCAACCTTCCAGGCTCAAGTGATTCTCCAACCTTGGCCTCCTGAATAGGTGGAACTACATGCATGCACCACATTGCCAGCTGCTTTTTAATTTTTTTGTAGAGACAAGGCCTTGCTTTTTTGCCCAGGCTGGTCTAGAAATTTTGGGCTCAAGTGATCCTCCCACCTCGGCCTCCCAAAGTGCTGGGATTACAGGCATGAGACACCCCACCTGGCCAGGATATATTATTAATACTTAATTTTGAGCTGGGTGGGGTGGCTCACGCCTGTAATCCCAGCACTTTGGGAGGCCAAGATGAGTGGGTCACTTGAGGTCAGGAGTTTGAGACTAGCCTGGCCAACATGGCGAAACCCAATCTCTACTAAAAATCAAAAAATTAGCCAGGCATGGTGGTGCACGTATGTAATCCCAGCTAGTTAGGAGGCTGATGCAGAAGAATCACTTAAACCTAGGAGGTGGAGCCAAGATTGCTCCACTGCACTGTAGCCTGGGCAACAGAGTGAGACTCTCTCAAAAAAAAAAAAAAAAAAAGAATTGTGTGGCTGACATGCTCCAGCCCTGAGCTAAGTTCCAACCACCAGCCTCTGTCTTTCTGACCCTGGTTTCTGTCTCCCCAGGGGACTTCCCTTCTCGTGAATGTCCTCCTTGTCTGTCATGGCCCGACTGTCCCCTCTGTGTGGTTGATACCCTCCAGATGCAGTTTGCAACCTGCTCAGTACCTTCCTTCGAACCCAGCAACAGATCCAGACTGAATTCACCACCTCCTTCCCCAGAGCCAATCTGCCTGCCTCTTTTGCTAGTTACCCCTTGCTGCTCATCCAATCCCCACTGCCATCCATGCTATGACTGCAGGACAATCGAAACCACCTCCTTGCAAGGTCCCCTTGACCCCAGCTCACACCCTGACCCCAGGACTCATGCCTAGCAGTGTTTCCAATGCCTGCATTGCCACATCACGCCCTTGCCCCAAACCATCAGGGTTGCTCCTCTGATGACTAAGCACAGATCTCGCCAAAATCTCATCCTGACCTCATGTCTCCAGCTACCTGTCCCTCTACTCCCAATTTTTTTTTGAGAGAGAGAGTCTCACTCTGTCACCCAGGCTGGAGTACAGTGGTGTGATCTTGGCTCACTGCAATCTCTGTCTCCTGGGTTCAAGAGATTCTCATGCCTCAGCCTCCTCTGAGTAGCTGGGATTACAGGCATATGCCATCATGCCTGGCTAATTTTTGTGTTTTTAGTAGAGGGTTTTACCATGTCAGCCAGGCGGGTCTCGAACTCCTGACCTCAAGTAATCCGCCCACCTAGGCCTCCCAAAGTGCAGGGATTACAGGTGTGAGCCACCATGCCCAGCCTCTTCTCTCCAATTTGTAAAAGTAGAGATGGGTCTTGCTATGTTTCCCTGATGGGTCTCGAACTCCTGGCCTCAAGTTATCCTCCTACTTTAGTTTCCCAAAGTGGTGGGATGACAGGTATGGGCCACTGTACTGGGCCCCTGCTCCCCAATTTGTGTTCTGTTCATCCTTCTGGGAACACTTACTGACCTTTCTCAAAAATAAATGTTGAATGAATGAATAAGTGAGTGAATGAATGAATGAATGAATGAAGCAGGCAAAGTGGTGGGCGCTGTCTGGGTCTCCCCTCTCCCCCACAGTCAGTGCTAGGCCAGGTCCCCTTCCTCTCACCAGTGAGGCGAGGATGGAACCCCCGATCCAGGGGCTGAACTTGCGCTCCATGGTGCTGTTGCTGGCGATGAGTTTCAGTCGCATGCTCTGGGGGTAAAAAGGGGCTGGGGGAAGCAGACACCCAGCTTCTGGGAAGGGACAGGTTTTGGGCGGGGACAGGGGAAGACTTGGGAAACCACAGGGGCAGGGGTGCTGCTCTGGTGGCCAGAACAGAAGGAAGCATGTGGGAAGGATGAAGGGACTCAGTCCTGGGCAGCTGAGCCAGGATGGGTGTCCAGGGCACTGGGTCAGGGGTGGTCTCCTACCGGTGGGGTCTTCTGGGAAAGCTCTCGATTGAGCCTGTCGGTGAAGCCCTGCAGCAGTGTGTTCCCGCCGGTGACAATGACACTCCCGTACAGGCCCTGAGAGAGGGAGGAGTGAGCTGGCAGGGGACAGCCCCCTCACCCCACCTCCCCACTTTTCCTGGGCCCCTTTGCCCAGCCTCAGCCCTGGCCTGGCCTCACCGGGCGAATGTCAATGTCACACATGCCGATGCTGGTGGTTACCACGTGGCCCACGCCCAACATGGTGTTCCCCGACAAGCCCTGCAGAGAGAGAGGTGACTGGGCTGTGGGATCTCTGCCCCTTCCCCCTAGACCCTTGCAATCCTTCCCAGCCTACCCCATGCCCCAGGATCCAGGGACTCCAGTCAGCACCCACCCCAGTCCTTGCCACCTGGCCAAACCTTGACGTTTGAGGGATCAAACAGGCCCTCGGGGATGCGGAGTCGCTCGGCGCCGTAGTCTGTGTTGTAGCCGTTGGGCATTTCGTAATGCACTGTGGGCATTTGTGCAGCCACCCTGCCCAGAAGGGAGCAGGGCTCTGCTTGGGGTACTCAAGAAGGATCAGTGGGTGGCCAGCACCAGAGCCCTCAGCCCACTCCCAGAGTCCTGGTTCTGCCCTCTCTCCCACCCCCCAGCCCCGAGCCACACTCACTGTTCATCGTAGGGGGAGTCTGAGACCTGGAGCACAGAGGCCTGGAAGTCCTGGATCACCTCCTAAAATTCCAGTGGGGGTGGTGAGGGCCTCGCTTCCTCCTGAGCGACACCTCCCCCACCCACTCCTCCTCACATGCAGGGCCTCTGCCCGCCCCCCATTCATGGCAGGGGAGGGTGGTTTCAGGGGGCCCTTTCCAGAGGCTCACGTTACACATGTAGTTATGCCAGGACTTGGAGACCTGGGGTAGCTTCTCCTTCTTCTTCCAGTTTGGGGGGGCGCCCTCCCGGACAGGCTCCTGTGGAGGCACAGCATAGGAACACCCTTTCCCAGCCCACCCTGGACACCCTCCCCTACCTTCCTGGCACTGTTCCTGGCTCTGTAGCTAACTGGAACCAGAGGCTGTGCTGTGCTGCCCGCGAGAGGGGTTTCTCACCCTTCCCTGATGGAGAGGAGAGAACGGGGTATGCCTCTCTCCCTGTGTGCCCTTCACATGGTGGGTGCAGCTGATCTGAAGACCACGGGGAATACAGCAGAGACAGAACCTCAAGAGAATGGCCTCCTAGGGGGCCACGCTCCGTGTGAGGGCCCAGGACAGAGCTGAGCACGCAGTGTCACTTCATACTCACAGCACCCTGGCTACTGCCTACTGCCATTCCACTTTACAGAAGACGAAACTGAGGCCCGGAGAGCTTTAATATCATGCTGTTGCTCACACGCTCTTTTTTTTTCAAATGTGGTCTCACTCTGTCACCCAGGCTGGAGTGCAGTGGCACAATCTCGGCTCACTGCAACCTCTGCCTCCTGGGTTCAGGCGATTCTCCAGTCTCAGCCTCCCAAGTAGCTGGGACTACAGGCATGCACCACCATGCTTGGCTAGTTTTTGTGTTTTTAGTAGAGACATGATTTCACCATGTTGCCCAGGCTGATCTCAAAGTGAGCTCAAAGTGATCTGCCTGCTTCAGCCTCCTAAAGTGCTGGGATTACAGGCACGAGCCACCTGCCTACTACTGGTCGGTCCCACAGCTCTCGGATGGCAGAGGCAGAACTTGAACCTGGGTCTATATTGGACGGCAGAACCATCACACTGGCCCTTACACATCCCACTGTCTGCCAGCTGGTTCCATGACCTCAGTGTATCCCTCAGCCTGGCTGGATTTTGGATGCCTTGATTATAAAAGGAGAAACTGGGGCCGGGCACAGTGGCTCATGCCTGTAATACCAGGACTTTGGGAGGCCAAGGTGGGCAGATCACAAGGTCAGGAATTCAAGACCAGCCTGGCCAATATGGTGAAACCCCATCCCTACTAAAAATATAAAAATTAGCCAGGCACCTGGTGGCATGCACCTGTAATCACAGCTACTCAGGAGGCTGAGGCAGAAGAATCACTTGAACCTGGGAGGTGGAAGTTGCAGTGAACCAAGATCACACCACTGCACTCCAGCTTGGGTGACAGAGTGAGACTCTGTCTCAAAAAAAAAGAGGAGGAACTGAAGCCGGGATCTACTGGGGAGTCTGCTGCTCTCTGCTCTGATATCTCATGTGTCAGTGGGTTGAAGGCCATGGGGCGAGTGGCCAGGGCTCTAGTGGCAGCTCCATATCCCCAGAGACCCCACCTTGGCTGCGATCATGTAAGGTGGGATGATGTCGATGGCCATCTCCTGGAACAGCTCCCGGCACTGCATGGAGATGAAGTCCCCTGCCAGAGGGGACTTGACGATGCCTGGAAAGGGAGGCACTGTCAGGACCTGGTCCTCCTGGGGTGTCCCCGCCCCCTGCTGAGGCCCCACCTTGCTGCAGGACGTAGCCATCGTGTACTGGAATGGCCGTGGTGTGGGTGGCCCCGCTATCCAGCACGAGGCCCGTGGAGCGCCCATTTGCAAAGCTGGCATTGGATGGGTAAGTCAAAGAGACAACAGCGGCAAGTGAGGGGCCTGGGACTCCCTCTGCTCTGGCCACTCTCTGCCCTGCCATCTCCAGTCTGTAAATCTCTCCTCCTGGTGAGGACCCGTGTCCTGAAGAAAGGCTCTAAGACCCCAGTTACTTCTTTACTAATACACATTTTTTGAAACGGAGTCTCGTGCTGTCACCCAGGCTGAAGTGCAATCACGTGATCTCAGCTCCCTGCAACCTCCACCTCTGGGTTCAAGGGATCCTCCTGCCTCAGCCTCCCAAGTACTTGGGACTACAGGCACGTACCACCATGCCAGGCTAATTTTTGTATTTTTAGTAGAGTTGGGGTTTTGCCATGTTGGCCAGACTAGTCTCGAACTCCTGACTTCAAGTGATCTGCCCACCTTGGCCTCCCAAAGTGTTGGGATTACAGGTGTGAGCCACTGTGCTTGGCCAGCCACAGTGCCCAGCCCCTGTATTTTTGGTTGTGTCTTACAGACTCTGTGAAATTAGGGGTCGCTATCACTGCATTGCACAGCACAGGGTTCAGTGTAAGGCAGATCCTTTAAAAAGCCAGTGTTTAAAGGGGTTCTTGGGAAGGGACTGCCACAGCGTTCTACATATCTCCCTCCTCTGTCCAGCTCCAGCCCCTGGCCCAGCTCACTGTCTGCTCACCCTGATCCTGGGAATGGAAAGGGGCAGCTGATCTGGCCACCCCAGGGTCAGAGGTGCTCAGCCCACTGGGCCTTCTACATTAGTGGGTCAGAGGGAGGCGTCTGCCCATTCGGATACTGATCTTCAGAGAACCAGGCCCGGGCCTCCCAGCTGAGCTCAGCTGTGCTCACCACAGGCCCCACCCGGGGCCCTCCACCCAGTCAGAGCAGCTCAGCCCAGAGGATACGCGGTGAGCACGGCCGTCTTGCATAAGAAGAAAGCAGGGATGTTGTACTGCTCAAACATCAGCTCTGTCAGCTTCTCCCGCTTGGCCCGTGTGTTCCACTGTGGAGAAAGTGCAGGAGGGGAGGATTCGGGGAGAGGCACAGACCCACACACATGCAACACAAACACACATACACTCACGGTTGCACACACATGCAACTTAAGCACTCACACATACACTCACGGTCACACACACATGTATTCAAACACTCGCACACATACACACATGCTCAAACACACACATATGCTCGTACAGATACACACATAAATACACGCACTCATACATTCACACTATGCATATATTCAGTCACACACACATGCATTCAAACACACTTTGACACACAAATACACCCGCATACATACACACACAAACTCACACTTGCACATACACATATATTCACACTCATAATCACACACACATGCATTCAAAACACTTGCGCAGGCCAAGCACCATTGCTCGTGCCTGTAATCCCAGCACATTGCGAAGCCGAAGTGGGAGGATTGCTTGAGCCTAGGAGTTTGAAACTAGCCCAGGCAGCATAGTGAGATGCTATCTCATTAAAAAAGAATTTTTTTTAAGTAAAGAGCTTGTGGGAATTAAAACTACATGAACAGAACTGAAAAACTCAGTAGAAGGATTGGAACATAAAGTGGAGGGAATATCTTGGAAATGATATTTCCAAGTGTGAGACTCTATCTCAAAGGAAAAAAAATGTGAATACAGGTTTGTTTGGTTTTTTTTCCAGTTCTAGGAAAACAAAAAGTTGCACAAGAAAGGAAAAGTAATAATCGTGTGTCTCCTGTGTCTGGCCTGATTGGTGTACATAGTAATAAGAGTGTAAATATTGGGCTGGGCACAGTGACTCATGCCTGTACTTCCAGCAATTTGTAAATTGAGGTAGAAGGATTGCTTAAGCACAGGAGTTTGAAGCCAGCCTGGGCAATATAACGAGATCCCATCTTTACAAACTATTCTCTTAAAATTATCTCTAATTTAAAAAGAGTCTAAATACTGAATACTGATTTCTTTTATTTATTTTTATTTTATTTTATTTTGAGATGGAGTTTTGCTCTTGTTACCCAGGCTGGAGTGCAATGGTGCAATCTTGGCTCACCGCAACCTCTGCCTCCTGGGTTCAGGCAATTCTCCTGCCTCAGCCTCCTGAGTAGCTGGGATTACAGGCATGTGCCACCATGCCCAGCTAATTTTTTTTTTTTGTATTTTTAGAAGAGATGGGGTTTCACCATGTTAACCAGGATGGTCTTGATCTCTTGACCTCGTGATCCACCCGCCTCGGCCTCCCGAAGTGCTGGGATTACAGGCTTGAGCCACCGCGCCTGGCCCTGATTTCTTTTAAAGTCTAAAATACAACTGGTCTGGATGCGGTGGATCTCACCTGTAATCTCAGCAATTTGGGAGGCTGAGGCAGGCAGGTTGCTTGAATTCAAGACCCAGAAATTCCAGACCAGCCTGGACAACATGGTGAAACCCTGCCTCTACAAAAAATGTAAAAATCAGCTGGGCGTGGTGGCTCATGTCTGTAGTTCCAGCTTCTCCGGAGGCTGAAATGAGAGGGTCACTTGAGCTGAGGAGGTAAAGGCTGCAGAATCGTGCTGCTGCACTCCAGCCTGTGTGACAAAGTAAGAGCCTGTCTCAAAAACAAACAACACAACCCCAAACAACCACAACAACAGAAGCCACTGTACTTAAAGGTGGGTGATGAGAAATCTGTGTGGTATAGGCTGGGGAGGAAAAGAGAGCTAAGCGACCATTTTCTAAAGTGGAAAATTCATAGATAATACCTAAAACAAAAAACTCCACAGGCTGCAATTTAAGTGTGATATTAGAGATATGAAAGAAAATACTCCAAAAATTAGCTCAAAAGGGAGAAAAACAGTTGCTTTTATACAGGGGGAAATATAAGGAGGCAGGTAAGAACATTTAAAAAATGTCTACCGGCGCCCGCCATCACACCTGGCGAATTTTTTGTAAAAATACAAAAATTAGGCATGGTGGCGGGTGCCAGTAATCCCAGCCACTTGGCAGGTTTAGGCAAGATAATTCCTTGAACCCAGGAGACACAGGCTGAGATCTCGTGATTGCACTCCAGCCTGGGCAACAGAGTGAGACTCTGTCTCAAAAGATTAAAAATTTAAAAAGGACTTGGAGACGGAGAAGGGCAGCAGAGTAAGATAGAGCAGGAAAAGAGCAGGAGGGCTGGAGACAGCTAGGAAGGAAAGAAAGTGGTGAAGATGGAAAAGGGAGGTCAAGTGGCTGAGAGTGGTGGCTTGAGGGGAGAGGAGAGGTGGATGGTGGGAATGAGGTTCGGTGGAGATCAGGGCCGGACGTGGAGGTATGGAGTAGGCACTCACCGGAGCCTCGGACATGAGCACTGGGTGCAGGTTTGGCTCAGACTTGACATGTTTGCTGTAGGTGTGATCCAGGATGGCTCGGAAGCACTCCCAATCCTCAACTGGGGCCAGAAGAGCAGCACAGAGACGCAAGAGGGCAGGCAAGGGTCAGGGACAGGAGGAAAAGGAGGGAGGAAGGCCAAGTCCAAAGGAGGGTCAGTGAGTCCAGCTCCAGGGGAACACCCTCCTTCCCAGAAACCTGATGGGCCCCTGGGATGGGAACCAGGCAGCTCAGGGAGGCAGTGAGAAGAACCCTGGGACTGCAAGGAAGAATCCTTGGGGAGTTGGGGCTGCTATGTCCCAGATCATGGAGAGTGAGCTCCCTGTCTGTGTCAGGAGGTGATGGGTGAGGGCCCCTTACTCATGCCATTCTTCAGGGGCGACATGACCTCTGCTCCATCCCGAGGCACGTGCAGGGCATTGGTGTCGATGTGAAAGATCTTCCCTTTCTTCTCTTTGTCCCCCTCCAGCTCCAGCCCGCCCCCCTCCTCCGCGGCCAGCAGCCCCACCGTGGTGGGGAAGTCAGCCTGGTGGGGAAGGGTTGGGGGAGGATCGGCAGGGAGAGGGGTCACCTTCTTGCCCCTGTCCAGCCCCACAGCGGGGTCCTCAGCCCGCCCCTGGGTTTATTCCCGCATTCCCGCTCAGCAGAGCTTCTGGGCGATCTGGGAGAGCCCTGGGTCACTGGAAAGCCCGAAGAAGGGTTCAGAGCCCCTAGAATTTGGGGAGGAGACTGAAAGGCTCACCTTGGGGCAGTCCTCCCCAGCGTACCCAGCTCGGACTGAGAAGGAGCCAATGTCAAAGACCAGCGCCCCCACCTCATCTGTGCGGGGAAACAGGCCTGTAAGGGGACTTCCCCCGAACTCTCTCCCGCTAGGTAGCTCCGAGAGGAAGTCAGGGCAGAGCCACAGTCTCACTACTTTCATCACCAGTCTGGGGCAGGTGGGACTGGAGTCCGAGGTCCTGGGACTGGGGGCAGGGGCATCACACCGCCAGGTCCCTGCTTGCCCAGTGGACTTGCTCAGGTCGCCCTCCAGACGGGAAAGGAAGGGGCCGGGGACCAGTTGGAGGTGGGTTGCAAGGTAGAGAGGTTGGGCCCGGTGCGCGCGAGGCGTGCAGGGAGGACCGAGCGTAGGAGTGGCGGGAGACCCAAGCCTGGGACCGGACCCATTCGTGCACGGAGGTGACAGGCCCCGGGGTGCCCAGAGCTCGGATCGATGACGCGGGTTCGGAACGCAAGGCTGCGGGAGCCCGGGGCCCAAGGCTCGCTCACCTCCGCCGTAGACGCCGCCGCTCATAGTGCCCTCTGCGCGGCTCGCGGCCCGTGGGCGGCGGCGGGATCAGCACCGAGGCGGCCGGACAGCTCCCGGGATCCCGGGCGGGGCGGGGCGCGAGGCGGCCAATCGGGAAGCCGGATCCCCCGCCCCCAACGGCGCCGCCGATTGGCTGCCAGGCGAGACAATGACCCGGACGGGGGCCGCTGCTTTAAAGGGAAAGACGTCCCCGGTTAGGCGGCCGGGAGGAGATGGGGCAGGGGGCTCCCAGCAGGGACTTAACCGTTCCTAAGGAACGCGTGGCAGAGAGGAGAGAGCAGGAAAGAGGAGGAGACCAAGACTCTGTAGGACGACTGATGAGGTCCTTACCCCCTTGCTTTTTAGTTTTATTATTTTAATTCTTTTGGTAGAGATGGGGTCTTGTTATTTCGCCCAGGCTGGTCTCGTACTCCTGAGCTCAAACGATCTTCTTCAGCCTCCCAAGTAGCTGGGATTACAGGCAGGTGCCAGCACACCTGGCTAATTAAAAAAAAAAAAAAAAATATATATATATATATATATATATTGTAGAGATGGGGTCTTGCTGTGTTGCCCAGGTTGATCTCTAACTCCTGGCCTCAAGCAATCCTCCTACCTCAGCCTCTCAAAGTGCTGGAATTATAGGCATGAGCCATCTCGTCCCTTCTCTATTCCCTTACCTTTTAAAGCAGGGTTGCGGAGAGAACTCCAGTACCCAGAAGGGTCATCTATCTTCAGGCTGCTGTGAGCCCGGTTTTGCCAATCCCGGGCCTAAATGGAATCACTGAGAGAGGGAGGGAAGGGAAGATTGAGAGAGAGACCAGAAGGAGTGTGTCTCCATCTCTCCCTGTTTTTTCCTTTTTTTTTTTGACACGGACTCCTGCTGTGTCGCCCAGGCTGGAGTGCAGTGGCGCGATCTCAGCTCACTGCAACCTCTGCCTCCTGGGTGTTCACGTGATTCTCCTGTCTCGGCCTCCTAAGTAGCTGGGACTACAGGCGCGTGCTAATTTTTTGTATTTTTAGTAGACACGGGGTTTCACCGTGTTAGCCAGGATGGTCTTGATCTCCTGACCTCGTGATTCGCCGACCTTGGCCTCCCAAAGTGCTGGGATTACAGGAGTGAGCCACCGTGCCCAGCCTTTTTTTTTTTTTTTTTTTTAAGACACGGACCCTCACTATGTTGTCCAATTTGGTCTCGAACTCCTGGCCTCAAGTGAGCCTCTCGCCTTGGCTTCCTGAGTCATTGCGATTACAGGTGTCAGCCACAGTGCCAGACTAGCAAAAGATTTTCTACTGCTTGGACCCCAGGTTCTTCTGGGCTCCTGGCACCACAGTTTTGGTAGCAAAGACGAAGAAGCAGCTCTGACACCTTGGGGTAGCTGACACACACACCTTCTGTGAGGGTGTGTGTGTCTGTATGTGTTGGCGTGTGTGTGCATGTGTGTACATATGCACATCTGAATGCTTGTGTGTGTTGAGCATGTGCCCATCTACTTGTTTGGGGGTGAGGGAGCTTTGAGACCAGAGATGGCACAGGAAGTGGGTACTTTGTGAGGTCAACATGCCCCTGAAGGTTCTCTGCTCACCACATGCCCACCCTGGAAGAGACTCCACCTCTCCCCAGCCAAAGGACAGATGGCTTGAGCTGGCTCATGGATTAGCTACTGATGACCGTGACGTTTCAATGCCTAGGGCTGGTTCTGAGTTCAGACTTGGCTTCTAAGACTGAAAGTGTCCAGGTTTCAGTGGGAGGGGTGAGCTGTAGCGGGGAGGGCTGACTCAGGAGGTGGGAGAGTGAGATTTTCCAGAGTGACCCTAGGCCAGTCCATTCGAGGCTGGAGGAATTGTGCGGATCTTTTAAAGTGCTTATATTTCTTTTTCTTTTTTCTTCGTTTTATTTATTTATTATATATTTTTAAAATTGCATTTTAGGTTTTGGGGTGCATATGAAGAACATGTAAGATGGTTGCGTAGGTACCTACATGGCAGTGTGGTTTGCTGCCTTCCTCCCCATCACCTACATCTGGCATTTCTCCTCATGTTATCCCTCCCCAACTCCCCGCCCCCCACTGTCCCTCCCCTATTTCCCCCCCTACAGACCCCAGTGTGTGATGCTCCCCTCCCAGCGTCCATGTGTTTTCATTGTTCAACACCTGCCTATGAGTGAGAACATGCGGTGTTTGATTTTCTGTTCTTTTTTTTCTTTTTGAGCTAGAGTTTCACTCTGTTGCCCAGGCTGGAGTACAACAGCACAGTCTTGACTCACTGCAGCATCTGCCTCCAGGTTCAAGTAATTATTCTGCCTCAGCCTCCAGGTTCAAGTAATTATTCTGCCTCAGCCTCCAGGTTCAAGTAATTATTCTGCCTCAGCCTCCAGGTTCAAGTAATTATTCTGCCTCCTGAGTAGCTAGGGTTACAGGCACATGCCACCACTCCCGGCTAATTTTTTTTGAATTATTATTTTATTATTATTATTATTTTGAGACGGAATCTCACTCTGTCACTCAGGCTGGAGTGCAGTGGCACGATCTCGGCTCACTGCAACCTCCGCCTCCCAGGTTCTAGCAATTCACCTGCCTCTGCCTCCTGAGTAGCTGGGATTACAGGCACCCGCCACCATGCTGGGCTAATCTTGGCTCAATCACTCTGCCTCCTGGGTTCGAGTGATTCTCCTGCCTCAGCCTCCTGAGTAGCAACTATAGGCACCTGCCACCACGCCCAGCGAATGTTTTGTATTTTTAGTGGAGACAGGGTTTCATCGTGTTAGCCAAGATGGTCTTGACCTCCTTCCCTTGTGATCTACCTGCCTGGGGCTCCCAAAGTCCTGTGATTACAGACGTGAGCCACCATACCTGACCTTGTATTATTTTTAGTAGAGACGGGGTTTCACCATGTTGGCTAGGCTGGTCTGGAACTCCTGACCTCAGGTGATCTGCCCGCGTCAGCCTCCCAAAGTGTTGGGATTACAGGCATGAGCCACCATGCCCAGCCAAGTGCTTGCATTTTTTATTGTTTAAAATGCTGAGGTGAGGATGAAAAGAATGCTGGGGTGGAAAGAGAGTCTATTCATGTTATCTCTCTCCTTTTGTTGATATTTAATAATGTTGCCTCCTAATGTTGATATTTAATAAAGTAATGTAACTTACTCTGAAGTTCACCTTGCCAATTCTTACTACCCCTTCTTTCCTCCCCACCACCCTAACCGTCTCAGATTTAGAAGACTTGCCCAGGCAGGGCATGCAGTGGCTTACACCTATAATTGCAACACTTTGGGAGGCCAAGGTGGGAGGATCGCTTGAGGCTAGGAGTTTGAGACCAGCCTGAGCAACACAGAGACCCCCAACTCTCAGAAGAAGAAGGAAGAGGAGGAAGAAGAAGAAGAAGGAAGAGGAGGAAGAAGAAGAAGGAAGAGGAGGAAGAAGAAGAAGAAGGAAGAAGAGGAAGAAGAAGGAAGAAGAGGAAGAAGAAGGAAAGAGGATTGGGTCTTGCTACATCGCGTCAGGAGTTCAAGACCAGCCTGACCAATGTGGTGAAACCTCATCTCTACTAAAAACACAAAAAATTAGCTGGATGTGGTGGCATGCACCTGTAATCCCAGCTACTCGGGAGGCTGAGGCATGAGAATTGCTTGAACCCAGGAGGCGGTGAGCCGAGATCACGCCACTGCACTCGTGCCTGGGTGACAGAGTGAGACTCTGCCTAAAAAAAAAAAAAAAAAAAAAAGGCCTGGAAAAGGAAGGGCCTACCTGACTCTCTAGAATCCAGGAAGGCTTCTAGAAGTGAAGTTGGAGCTAAACTGTGAAGGATGAGGCCAGGCACTGTGGCTCACGCCTGTAATCGCAGCACTTTGGGAGCCCAAGGCAGGTGGATCATCTGACGTCAGAGTTCAAGACCAGCCTGGCCAACATGGCAAAACCCCATCTCTACTAAAAATACAAAAAGTTAGCTAGGCGTAACGGTGGGCGCCTGTAGTCCCAGCTACTTGGGAGGCTGAGGCAGGTGAATCACTTTAACCCCGGAGGCAGAGGTTGCAGTGAGCTGAGATCGTGCCACTGCACTCCAGCTTGGGCAACAAGAGTGGAACTCTGTCCCAAAAACAAACAGACGAACAAAAACCGTGAAGGCGGAATAAGAGCTTACAGGTGAAGTAGGTGGGAGACAGTCCACAAAGAGCAGCATGGACGGAGGTCTAGGGACACAAAAACTGGAATATGTGAAAACAGGAGTTCAGTTTAGAAGGAGGGTTGGACATGAGCTGCTGACAGGAGTCAGTGTCAGCAGGAGATGAGACTGGAAGTAATTAATGACCAACTGGAGGAGGCTGAGGCTGCAGTGAGCTATGATCACACCACTGCAGCCTGGGAGACAGAGAGACACTGCCTCTTAAAAATAAAATAAAATAAGACCAATGGGTTCATGCCTATAACTGTTTTTGTTTTTCTTTTTCTTTTTAGAGAGAGTCTTGCTTTGTCACTCAGGCTGGAATGCAGTGAGGCACCACTGCAACCTCAAACTTCCAGGCTCAGATGATCCTCCCATTTTGGCTTCCTGAGTAGCTGGGACCACAGGCAAGCGCCACCATGGCTGGCTAATTTATTTATTTCTTTTTTGTTTGTTTGTTAGGTAGAAACAGGGTCTTGCTGTTGCCCAGGCTATTTTTTGAGATGGAGTCTTGCTTTGTCTCCCAGGCTGTAGGATAGTGGTGCAATCTTGGCTCACTGCAACCTCTGTCTCCTGGGTTCAAGTGATTCTCCTGCCTCAGTCTCCTGAGTAGCTGGGATTACAGGCATACATCACCGTACCCAGCTAATTTTTTGTATTTTTATTAGAGACAGGGTTTCACCATGTTGGCCATGCTGGTCTTGAACTCCTGACCTCAAGTGATTTACCTGCCTCGGCTTCCCAAAGTGCTGCTGGGATTACAGGCATGAGCCACTGGGCCCAGCCTCAAACCGTCTTTTTTTTTTTTTTTTTTTTTGAGACAGAGTGTCCCACTCTGTCACCCAGGCTGGAGTGCAGTGGCATGATCTCAGCTCACTGCAACGTTCACCTCCTGTATTCAAGCAAATCCCTGCCTCAGCCTCCTGAGTAGCTGGGATTACAGGTGCCCGCCACCACACCCGGCTAATTTTTGTATTTATAGTAGAGATGGGGTTTCACTATATTTGCCAAGCTGGTCTTGAACTCCTGACCTCAGGTGATCCGCCCGCCTCGACCTCCCAAAGTGCTGGGATTACAGGCCTGGCCTCAAACTGTCTGTTTTTATTGAACAGACCCAAAGTGTCTACTGTGTGCCAGGTGCTCTTATGAATGCTTTACACACATCCCCTCATTTAGCCCTTCTAACAACCGGATTGGTATCCCCATTTTGCAGGGGAACCAAAGGCATGGACAGATTGAGAAACTTGCCCAAAGTCCCTCAGCTGATAAATGACAGAGCTGAGATTTGAACCAAAGTATGTGAAAAGTGCTGATCCTGGGACTGAAAATGTTCTCTATGTGCCTGACAGACACTGGGAATAGAATGGCTCACAGAACATGATGCGACTCTCACAGAATTTAACATCTATCCCAGAAGACGGATGATTAAACAATTCGTTCAGTAAAGTGATCTGGAGAGCCTCACATTTCATGTGATGTCCGAGGTGCTAGGGCCAGGCCTAGGCACCACAGACCCCACATCTTGGAAATGATTTGGCATTTTGTGAGGGTCTGTTCCTTGGTCCTGTTCTCAGCCTTCTATATATATATATATATATATATATATATATATATATATATTTTTTTTTTTTTTTTTTGAGACAAGAGTTTTGTACTGTTGCCGGGGGTTAATGCAATGGCGCAATCTCGGCTCACTGCATCCTCTGCCTTCTAAGTTCACATGATTCTCCTGCCTCAGCTTCCCGAGTAGCTGGGATTACAGGTGTACACCATCACATCCAGCTAATTTTTTGAATTTTTAGTAGAGACAGGCTTTCACTATTTCGGCCAGACTGGTCTCAAACTCCTGACCTAGTGATCTGCCCGCCTCGGTCTCCCAAAGTGCTGTGATTACAGGCATGAGCCACCTTACCTGGCCTCAGCCTTCTTTTAATTGTTTTCTTTCGTTTTTTTATGAGACAGGATCTCACTCTGTCATCCTGGCTGGAATGCAGTGGCTTGACCGCAGCTTACTGCAGCCTCAACTGACCGAAGTCAAGCAATCCTTTTGCCTCAGTCTCCCGAGCAGCTGGTACCACAGGCAGCTAATTTGTTTATTTTTTCTTGAGATATAGTCTTGCTCTGTTGCCCAGGCTGGAATGAGGTGGCATGATCTTGGCTCACTGCAGCCACTGCCTTCGAGGTTCAAGCGATTCTCCTGTCTCAGCCTCCTGAGTAGCTGGGCCTACAGGCAGGCACCACCACACCCAGCTAATTTTTTATATTTTTGGTAGAGACGGGGTTTTGCCATGTTGGCCAACCTGGTCTCCAACTCCTGACCTTAGGTGATCCACCCACCTTGGTCTCCCAAAGTGAGCTGCCACGCCTGGCCTTTTTTTTGTATTCTTTGCAGAGATGCTTTGCCACGTTGCCCAGGCTAGTCTCAAACTCCTGGCCTCAAGCAATCCTCCTGCCTCAGCCTCGAAAGGTGCTGGGATCATAGGCTTAAGCCACTGTACCTGGCCTTCACCCAGTCTTCTGCCAGATAAGCCAAGTGCCTTGGCTTCACAGGGAGGCCCAGGCCCAGGGCAGATGGCAAGTGCCCAGAAATACACAGTCCAGTGAAGGCTTCGACAGGAATGGAGCCAGCATTGCAGTGGGGCACAAACAACATTGTGGGCAGGGAAGCAATATTTAAACTAAGCCCCAGGAATGGCCTGGATTTTTCTGGCAGACATGGAAGTAGAGCTGGAGGAGGGGTGAAAGGCATTCTGAGTTGGGGGGATAAGACCTGGCCTTTTCCTCATGCAAAGAAGTTGACTCTTCTCCTGGAGTCCACTGGGAGCTACTGCAAGACTTCGAACAGAAGGGTTATTGATCCAATTGGTGTTTTAGAAAGATGTCTCTGGCAGCCATTTAGTAGACTGATTAAAAAGGAACTAAGCTAGAGGCCAGGAAATGAGCAGGAATCAAGGTAATAGTCATTGGCACACTGTAGAAGGGCTGCATTTAAGCAGTAGTCAACAGAGAGCACTGGGCTGGACGTGGTGGCTCATGCCTGTAATCCCAGCACTTTGGGAGGCTGAGGCAGGAGAATCACTTGAGGCCATGTAGGAGACCACTCTAGGCAGTGTGTTGAGACCCCATATCTAAAAAAATGTATATATATATATGTGTGTGTGTGTGTATATATATATATATATATATATATATATTTTTTTTTTTTTTTTTTAATTAGCCAGTCGTTGTGGTGCTTGCCTGTAGTTCCAGCTTCTCAGGAGGCTGAGGCAGGAAGATCACTTGAGCCCAGGAGGTTGAGGCTGTCAGGAAAATAAAAAGAAAATGGAGACACTGACACGATGGATACACCAGGCATAGACTGCCACTCTCATACCGCTTCTCATTGCCCTGCTTTATTATGATTATCATCATCAATTATTTTTTATTTTTTTGAGACGGGATCTCACTGTCACCCAGGCTGGAGTGTAGAGGTGCAATCACAGCTCACTGCAGCTTCAATTCCCTGGGCTCAGAGCATCCTCCCACCTCAGCCTCCTGAGTTGCTGGGACTCCAGTCACCAGCCACCGCATATGACTAATTATTTATTTATTTTTATTTCTAGTAAAGACGAAGTCTTACTATGTTGCCCAGGCTGGTTTCAAATTCCTGAGCTCAAGCAACCTTTCTCCCTTGGCCTCCCAAAGTGTTGGGATTACAGGTGTGAGTCACTATCCCCAGCCTATTTTATTAGTTTTTGTTTTTTATAGAGACAAGGTCTCACTACGATGGTCTCAAACTCCTCCTGCCTCGGCCTCCTAAATTGCCTTCTTTGTTTATGAATAATGTTTTAGGCTGGCACTTGAGAGGCTGAGGCAGGTAGATCACGAGGTGAGGGGATCAGGATCATCTGGGCTAACATGGTGAAACCCCGTCTCTACTAAAAATATACAGAATTAGCCGGGCGTGGTGGCAGGAGCCTGGAATCCCAGCTACACAGGAGGCTGAGGCAGGAGAATTGCTTGAATCTGGGAGGCGGAGGTTGCAGTGAGCCGAGGTTACGCCACTGTACTCCAGCCTGGCGACAGAGTGAGACTTCATCTCAAAAAAAAAAAAAAATAATAGTAATGTTTTAGCTGGGTACATGGATAGAAACTACATTTCCCTGCCTTCCTTGCATCTGACCAAATTCTTGTTTTCATTTTAATTTATTTTTTATTAGAAATTTAAATAATAGAGATGGCGTCTCACTATGTTGATCAAGCTGGTCTTGAAGTCCCGGCCTAAATCAATCCTTCCATCCTGGCATCCCAAAGTACCGGGATTACAGGCGTGAGCCACTGTGTCCAGCTGCATCCAGACAACTTCTGAGCAGGTTAGTGTTGTCCTTAATCAGGAAAGGACCTGTGTTTCCCCCTTTACCTCCCTTCCCACATTCGAATATGATGGCGATTTCTGCCTAGGCCCCATGGAACAGAGAGATAGAAGCCACATGTTTAAGATGGCAGAGACCGGCAGTGGCCCACGCCTGTAATCCCAGCACTTTGGGAGGCCAAGGTGGGCATATCACTTGAGGTCAGGAGTTCGAGACCAGCCTGGCCAACATGGCGAAACCCTGTCTCTACTAAAAATACAAAAATTAACCAGGTGTGGTGTCACACACCTGTAGTCCCAGCTACTCAGGGGGGTGAAACAGGAAAATAACTTGAACCTGTGAGGCGGAGGTTGCAGTGAGCTGAGATTGCACCACTGCACTCCAGCCTGTGTGATGAAGTGAGACTCTGTCTCAAAAAAGAAAAGAAAATTTAAAAATATATATATATATATATCAGCTGGGCACAGTGGCTCACTTTGGGAGGTAACCGAATCACCTGAGGTTCAGAGTTCCAGACCAGCCTGGCCAACATGGTGAAACCCCATCTCTACTAAAACTACAAAAATTAACCAGGCGTGGTGGCTCATGCCTGTAATCCCAGCTACTTGAGGCCAAGGTGGGTGGACCACCTGAGGTCCAGAGTTCGAGACCAGCCTGGCCAACGTGGTGAAACCCGTGGTGAAAATTCGCTGGGCATGGTGGTGCACACCTGTAATCCCAGCTACTTGGGAGGCTGCCGCAGGAGAATCGCTTGAACCTGGGAAGTGGAAGTTACGGTGAGCTGAGATCACAGTGCCACTGCACTCCAGCCTGGGTGACAGAGCAAAACTCTGTTTCAAAAGAAAAAAACCCACATTTTTTTTTTTAATTTTTCTGTACAGATAGGGTCTCTACAATTTTTTTTGTAGAGATGGGATCTTGCTATATTGCCCAAGCTGGCATCAAACTCCTGGCCTCAAGTGATCCTCCTGCCTCAGCCTCCCAAAGTAGTACTGGGATGACAGGATGAGCCAACACACCCAGCCTAAAAAAAAAATTTTTTTTTTTTTTTTTTGAGACAGAGTTTCCCTCTTGTTACCCAGGCTGGAGTGCAATGGCGCGATCTCGGCTCACCGCAGCCTCCGCCTCCTGGGTTCAGGCAATTCTCCTGCCTCAGCCTCCCGAGTAGCTGGGATTACAGGCACGCGCCACCATGCCCAGCTAATTTTTGTATTTTTAGTTGAGATGGGGTTTCACCATGTTGACCAAGATGGTCTTGATCTCTTGACCTCGTGATCCACCCGCCTCGGCCTCCCAAAGTGCTGGGATTACAGGCTTGAGCCACCGTGCCTGGCCTTTTTTTTTTTTTTTTTTTTGAGATGGAGTTTCACTTGGTCATCCAGGCCGGAGTGCAATAGCACGATCTTGGCTCACTGCCATGTGAGTTCAAGCGATTCTCTGGCCTCAGCCTCCTGAGTAGCTGGGATCACAGGCGTGCGCCACCATGCCCGGTTAACTTTTTGTATTTTTAGTACAGACCGGGTTTCCCCATGTTAGCCAGGCTGGTCTCAAACTCCTGACCGCAAGCGATCCTCCTGCCTCAGCCTCCCAAAAATGCTGGCATGACAGACATGAGCCACCACGCCCAGCCTAAAAAACCCGATTCCACTTCCTCTTCTCATTGCTGTGCCAGCTTTCTACATGGCCCCCCCGCCAAGGTGAGACACCCAAAGTCTGGTCCACGTTGTTTTTCTCCACTGCCTCATTCTTGCTCACCCATTGCAAACGCCCGAGGCAAAGCCAGCAGTGGCTTCTTCCCAGTCCTCCGCAGTCTTGCTTCATTTCTCTGCAGCGTTCAGCACAGTTTCCCATTCCTTTTTTGGAACACTCTTTTCTTTTGGGTTCCAGAAATCCGCATCCTCCTGATTTTCTTCTTAGTTCGCTGGCTTCTTTGGCAACTTGTTCTCCACCTAACCTCTAAATGTCAGAGTTCCTCAGAGCTTGGTCTTAAGCCATCTTGTCTCCCCCCTCCACCGCACCTCTTTATGACGTCATCGGCTAGAATGTGCCACTCACTCTTGGGGCTCTATTCCAACCTAGATTTCTCTGCTGAACTCCAGAACTATGTCTACAGCTGCCTATTAAACATTTCTCCTGGATTTCTCAAAGAACTAAAAATAGAACTATAATTGGACCCAGCAATCCCATTATTGGATATTTACCCCAAAGGAAAAAAAAAATCATCCTACCAAAAAGAAATATACGCTTATATGTTTCTTGCAGCACTATTTTCAATAGCAAAGACATGAAATCAACTTAGGCATCCATCAACGGTGGACTGGATAAAGAAAATGCGGTACAAATAGGTCATGGAATACTATGCAGCCATGAAAAGAAAGAAAATCATGTTATTTGCAGCAACATGGATGCAGCTGGAGTCCATTATCTTAAATGGATTAGAGCAGAAACAGAAAACCAAATACCAGATGTTCTGACTTGTAAATGGGAGCTAAACATTAGGTACTCATGGACATAAAGATGGCAGCAGTAGACACCGGGGACTACTCGGGGGAAGAGGAAAGAAGAAGGGCCAACGTTGAAAAACTATTACTACCTATTGGGCCAGGCACGGTAGCTTGTGCCTATAATCCCAGCACTTTGGGAGGCTGAGGCAGGTGGATCATTTGAGGCCAAGAGTTCAAGACCAGCCTGGCCAACATGGCAAAACCCCGTCTCTACTAAAAATACAAAAATTAGCCAGGCATGGTAGCGTGCACCTGTAATCCTAGGTACTCAGGAGGCTGAGGCAGGAGAATCACTTGAACTCACGTGGCAGGGATTGGCACACGCCTGTAATCCCAGCTACTTGGGAGGCTGAGGGAGAAGAATTGCTTGAACCCAGGAGGCAGAGGTTGCAGCGAGCTGAGATCATTCGACTGCACTCTAGCCTGGGCAACAGAGTGAGACCCTGTCTCAAAGAAAAAAAAAAAAAAAAAGGAAAAAGAAAAGCTACCTATTGGGTACTATGCTCACTACATGAGGGATGGGATTAATTGTATTCAAACCTCCGTGTCACACAATTTACCATGTAACAAACCTGCACATGTACCCTGTGAATCTAAAATAAAAGTTGGGAAAAAAAAGGGACAAATGTGGTGGCTTACACCCATAATTCCAGCACTTTGGGAGGCTGAGGCTGGAGGATCACTTGAGACCAGGAGTTTGAGACCAGCCTGGGCAACATGGCAAAACACTGTCTCTACAAAAAAAATACAAAAAATTAGCCAGGCGTGGTGGTGTGCACCAGTAGTCCCAGATACTGGGGAGGCTGAGGTGGGAGGATCATCTGAGCCGAGGAGGTAGAGGCTGCAGTGAGTTGTAATTGCACCCCTGCACTCCAGCCTTGGTGACAGAGTGAGACCCTGTCTCAAAAAACAAAAGCAAAAACAAAAACACCAAAACAATGTTCTCCATTGGTACTTCAAACCTAAACCTTCCCAATCTTAAATTCTTGATTTTCCTTCCAAAATGTGTCCCATCTCAAATGTTCTGCTTGAAGTAAATGATACCTCCAGGCCATTAGCACTGTTATTTCTTGTTTCTTGTTTATTTATTTATTTTATTTTATTATTATTATTTTTTAGATGGAGTCTTGCTCTGTAGCCCAGGCTGGAGTGCAGTGGCAAGATCTCAGCACACTGCAACCTCCGGGTCCAGTTCTAGCAATTCCCCGCTCTCAGCCTCCCAAGTAGCTGGGATTACAGGCACCAGCCACCATGCCCAGCTAATTTTTGTATATTTTAGTAGAGACGGGGTTTCAACTTGTTGGCCAGTCTGATCTTTAACTCCTGACCTCGTGATCCGCCTGCCTGGGCCTTCCAAAGTGCTGGGATCACAGGCGTGAGCCACCACACCTGGCTTATTTAATTTATTATTATTTTTTGAGATGGAAACTTGCTCTGTTGCCGGGCTGGAGTGCAGTGGCACTATCTCAGATCACTTCAACTTCTGCCTCCTGGGTTCAAGTGATTCTCCTGCCTCAGCCTCCCGAGTAGCTGGGACTACAGGCGTGCACCACCATGCCCAGCTAATTTTTCTATCTTTAGCAGAGACAAAGTTTCACTGTTTTGGCCAGGATGGTCTGAATCTCTTGATCTCGTGATCAGCCCACCATGGCCTCCCAAAGTGCTGGGATTACAGGCATGAGCCACTGCGCCTCACTCGGCCTGTTTTTCGTTTTTGAGACAGGGTCTGGCTCCATTACCTAGGCTGGAATGCAGTGGCACAGCCTCACTGTAATCTCTGCCTCAGGAGTTCAAGTGATCTTCCCACCTTAGCCTCCCAAGTAGCTGGGACTACAGGCACACGTCATGTTTTTTTTGGTAGGTTTGACAAGGTCTTGCTATGTTGCTCAGGCTGGTCTGGAACTCCTGGACTCAAGTGATCCACCTACCTCAGCCTTCCAAAATGCTGGGATTAAAGGTGTGAGCCACCACGCCTGGCCCGAACCCTTATTTCAATGCCCATCTGCTTCCTCTGTAGATTGCAAGCTCCAGGAGGAGGGTGCACCTGTCATTCACAGTTACATCCTCATTGCCTAGGGCAGTGCCATCATCTGGCTCAGTAAATATCAATGAGTTAAAACAGGAAAGCTTATTAGCACAGAAACCAAATCAGAGGAAGCAGCACAGATGCCCTTTCGAGACTGACAAAATTGGGCTGTGGTCCTAGGCTGCTGGTGGTCTAAGTGATTTTAGGGAAGTCACTGGGACATCTACAGATTGAGGAAATTGACATCATTATGGCTGAGGTCCCTCCCAAATTCTAATGTCTAGTTGACATCTATTATCTATTGTTTATTTGTCACTGAATTGGTAGGTGCTCATAAATAGAATTTGTGCCTAACTACCAATGTGATTGTTTATATTTTCTTTAAAAAAACTGTGCTTTTAGCTTTGCGCAGTGGCAGTATCGTAGCCAATGAGGTTTATTTGAGGTGTGATTATTGCTAATTGAAAACTTTTCCCAATACCCCGCTGTGACGACTTCCAATACAGTCGGCACTGGCAATTTTTGACAGTCTCTATGGAGACTGATTAAAAAAAAAATTGTGTTTTTGTTTCTCATATTGAGAGCTCTGTCATGCCACTGTTGAATTCTTCCCAAGATTTTCCCCCAGCCAACCTTCAAACTCTGCTTCCTTGGACGGATTTGGCAATAGCTTTGGACATAATTGCCTACAATAATGAAAACCTACAGGATTCCTTTTTAATTTTCCTTTTGGCATGTTTAGTATTTCCCCTCCCCCACCGGACAGCTCACTCTGAGCGTGTGTACACGTTACAAAGACAACTACCATGGGGCCGGGCGCGGTGGCTCACGCCTGTAATCCCAGCACTTGGGGAGGCCGAGGCGGGTGGATCACGAGGTCAAGAGATCGAGACCATCCTGGTCAACATGGTGAAACCCCGTCTCTATTAAAAACACAAAAAATTAGCTGGGCGCTGTGGCATATGCCTGTAATCCCAGCTACTCAGGAGGCTGAGGCAGGAGAATTGCCTGAACCCAGGAGGCGGAGGCTGCGGTGAGCCGAGATCGCGCCATTGCACTCCAGCCTGGGTAACAAGAGCGAAACACCGTCTCAATAAAAACAAACAAACAAACAAAAAAAACAACAAAGACAACTACCGTGTTAATAACATATTCAATTTGAAAAAAAAATGCCTTTGAAAAACAATTTGTAATGCCTTTCACAGAGACTAAATGAAGAGTCTGTTTCCATACTTAAAAAAAATTTCATCTTTTTAGATTCAGATTCATGTGCACATGAATATACCCATGTTACATGGGTATATCTCGTGATGCTGAAGTTTGGGATACAACTGATCCCAACACCCAGATAGTGAGTACAGTACTCTATAGGTAGTTTTTCAACCCTTTCCCCCTACCTTCCCCCTCTAGTAATCTCCCGTGTCTATTGTTCCTGTCTTTTTGCTCATGACTACCCAATGTTTACCTCCTACTTATAAGTTAGAACATGCAGCATTTGGTTTTCTGTTCCCTCATTAATCCACTTAGGATAAAAGCCTCTAGATGCTTCCATGTTGCTGCAAAGGACATGATTTCTCTTTTTTCTTACCTCCCTTCCTCCCTCCCTTCTTTCTCCTTCCTTCCTTCTCTCTCCTTTTTCTTTCTCCCTCCTATCTCCTCCCCTTCCTTCTCTCTCTTTACTTTTTCTCTTTCTTCCTTCTCTATTTCTCTCTCTTTCTCTCTTTCTTTTTAATTTGAATCCGAGTTGTGCTTTGTCACCCAGGGTGCAGTGAGTGTTGGGATCTCGGCTCACTGCAACCTCTGCCTCCCGGATTCAAATGATTCTCCTGCCTCAGCCTGCAGGCACCACCACGCCCAGCTAATGTTTGTACTTTTAGTAGAGACGGGATTTCACCAGGTCAGCCAGGCTGGTCTCAAACTCTTAACCGCAAGTGATCCACCTGCCCCAGCCTCCCACAGTGCTGGGATTACAGGCATAAGCCCTGTTTCGTTCTTGCTTATGGCTGCGTGTTTTGATACTCTCAATTTACAATGACTCAGTGAAGGCTATTCGTTGACTTGAACTTTCCAACGCATTTCCATAATCGATGGGGTTCTCAGTAAGAATTCGAGACTTGGCCGGGCACGGTGGCTCAAGCCTGTAATCCCAGCACTTTGGGAGGCCGAGGCGGGTGGATCACGAGGTCAACAGATCGAGACCATCTTGGTCAACATGGTGAAACCCCGTCTCTACTAAAATTACAAAAACTTAGCTGGGCACGGTGGTGCGTGCCTGTAGTCTCAGCTGCTCGGGAGGCTGAGGCAGGAGAATTGCCTGAACCCAGGAGGCAGAGATTGCGGTGAGCCGAGATCGCGCCATTGCACTCCAGCCTGGGTAGCAAGAGCGAAACTCCGTCTCAAAAAAAAAAAAAAAAAAAAAAAAAAAGAATTCGAGACTTGGCTGGGCACCGTGGCTCACCCCTATAACCCCAGCACTTTGGGAGGCCAAGGTGGGCGGATCACTAGTCAGGAGATCAAGACTATTGTGACCAACATGGTGAAACCCGGTCTCTACCAAAATACAAAAAATTAGCTGGGTGTGGTGGCGCAGGCCTGTAGTCTCAGCTGCTCGGGTGGCTGAGACAGGGGAATCACTTGAATCCGGGA